TGATCCAGTGAATCCACCGCCATCAGTCGATGATAAAACTGAGGAGAAGAAAGATGATCCAGTGAATCCACCGCCATCAGTCGATGATAAAACTGAGGAGAAGAAGGATGATCCAGTGAATCCACCGCCATCAGTCGATGATAAAACTGAGGAGAAGAAGGATGATCCAGTGAATCCACCGCCATCAGTCGATGATAAAACTGAGGAGAAGAAAGATGATCCAGTGAATCCACCGCCATCAGTCGATGATAAAACTGAGGAGAAGAAGGATGATCCAGTGAATCCACCGCCATCAGTCGATGATAAAACTGAGGAGAAGAAGGATGATCCAGTGAATCCACCGCCATCAGTCGATGATAAAACTGAGGAGAAGAAAGATGATCAAGTGAATCCACCGCCAACAGTCGATGATAAAACTGAGGAGAAGAAAGATGATCAAGTGAATCCACCGCCAACAGTCGATGATAAAACTGAGGAGAAGAAAGATGATCAAGTAAATCCAACAAACACTCAACCACCAGCACCAGTAGACGATGGCAAAACCCCAGCACCAATAGATGATGACAAAACACCAGCACCACTGGATGATGGCGATACACCAGTACCAGATAAAAATACTACGGATACGAGTGTCGTTCAACCGGATGGTGACAAGTCTTACGATCTTACTTTCCAACAAAAGTTAAAGTTTCTAATGTCGCCCAAAAAACCTTGTAAGTTCAATTTTCTTTCTTTTTGATGGACAAAAAACTCAAATTATCTTCGATTTTTGTTTTTCAGGGATCTATTTAATCTCGGGATTGGTTGGATTTATTTTGATTGCATTCATTATTTTTGGATTTTCGCGATTTTTTGTTGATTCCGAAGAACAGGAAGAATACAACATGTCTACAAATGTTGAAAAAGGTCGAGATAACTCAAAAATTCAGACACTGCAGTTAGATTTTTATAAACAAACGACCGAAGTTCAAATTGTTAATTAACCTACAGCTCGCAACAATAAACAAGTTCATTTATGTCTGCTTCAAGTTATTCTCATGTATTTAGATAATGTCAGAATATTCCTAATTGATTATTGTAAATTTTCATGAAATAATAATAAATATGATGTTTTGCGATTGTTAAATGAATGATGTACATAAAAATTTTATTTCATAAAATGATACATCGTTGATAGTCGAGAATTTTAGAGTTTATTTGAGTTTAAAAAAGTGAATTTAAAAATATTTTTGAAATCAATGAACGATGTTTTCACTTCCTAGGTTGAGTTGATTGTACTTATGGATTGAATCCCCCTTGATTACAAAAAGTTGCTCAATTCAATCATCAAGTCTGATCATCATGACTGAAAAACGATTTACAGCTGTTAAAATTTATGATTACATTAATACTTTAACCATCACATAACAGGATTTTTACATTTTTAACAGGATAATATAAATCTAAAATAATCTCATAATATTGGTTTACGATGGAACTGGACGCGTTTCCAAGAGTAATTTAGATGCAAGAAAATCCATTGTAATCAATTAGGAACACGTCGATGCAATTGGAAATTTGAACAGTCTAACCAAAGAAAAGCCTTCCACTGCAAGAGATCATTGTAGTTATAAACAAGTTGAAGCCGATTATAAACAATAACCGCAACCAATACTTTCAAATTCGGATGTTTTTGAAATGCTTGACAATTGGTACGTCAGGTTATTACTCATTAAGATAATGCATGTGACTAGAATAAACATTATAAATCAGCTCTTTTGAGGATGAAGCGAATCACAAAACAACTTTATGCACTTTGTGCATTTAGGTTTGTTTGCACAAGCTAATCCAATAAAAAGTGTAATGATCATGAGAATCCAGGTGTATACGCTTTTCCTTTTCCTCTAAACCATCATTGTAGACTTGTTGGTGAATGTATCTGAGAATCTCAAGTCATTTGATCACAATGGAGAGTATCAATCTAAGAAAAAGATAAAAAAGAAAAATTCTGATTATTACGTAATTTAATTACAAAAGATAGCCAAAAAACATCTGACTAATAGACTTACCAACTTGGTGATTTAGATGTATTAATCATAATAACACATTTTTGGTGATATTAACGTTGTTTACATGACACCAAATTGTCAGTAGAGATAGGAACAGGCAATCCTAAAGTTGATGAATGAATTCATATTTTTTGATGATATGATAATCCTGATAAATAAAGCATAATATGACCAATTACCATGCTCTTAAAGTTGTTAACTAGATACTAGAACAGTTAATTGATAAATGAAATAGAAAGAAATGAAAAAAATAATTAGCTGATTTTGTTACAAGCACATGAATGATGTTTATTGGGACGACAGAAAATTTAGCTTTCTCAGGCACGCGTAGAAGAGAAAGTCGTTATGTTACTATGGAGACTATTGGTTAATAGATGTACATGTAGTTAACGATGGTTAACCTAATACCGGATCCCTAAACACATCAGTGAAATGAAAAAGAGTTGAAGCCTTGATTTGAGATGTAATCTAAGCTTTGTTTTTCCCTGTTAGTCTTTAAATTATCCCGTGCTTCACCATATCCAATTATGGATCTCAAACCAACAAATATTTTTCCTGGTGTCCAACCACTAAATGTAAGTTTTTTTATCTCTGCTGATACCAGCATTAATATCCCTTGAATTTCTGTCTTTTCTTTTACTTGAACTTTGTTGTTAGATCTTGATTGTTTCACCTTTAACCTTTTCAATACTCTTTTATTTGTTTTGATAATTTTTTTCTAGATTTGTTTCGGCTGTTCCAACGCTGAAAATGATGAGTTCAGTAGTATAGAAAGTGATGAAGATGATTTAAGTTATACTCTTCTCGATCACTACCTAGACAAACATCGTACTGGTAAGTCAACAGTAGTTCTAAAATGGTAATCTCATTCAGACTATCTTTGTTTTTTTCTATATTTTTATTTTCAGTGATTGTAATTGTTTTAAAAATCATGTTGAAAGTTTAGTTGATTAATCATAGATCAAAATTTTACAACAGAAAACAGTCTTTCTATTTCCCTCCATTTTATGTTTGTTCAGTATTTAATTTCGTTCTTTGTTCTTTTTTTCAGCTAAACCTAAAGAAATAACAAATCGCCCATGTCTCCATTGCTCAATCGAGAAGACTCCTGTTGGTAAATTAAATTTGGCCGGATTACAACTTTCCTATGATCTCTTCGAAAATACACAGGTAATAATGACATCAAAATATTATTATTACCTAACCTAACCTAACTGCTAACCGGTTCTTCTTTTGCTTCTATACCCAGCATTTGCCAAAGTTTATCGATTCAGTTGATATATGTGCTCCGGATAATTTTTATAAACTTGTTGGTTGTACTAAAGATTCAACTGATAAATATACCGATTTAATTGTAGCCAAACTAATTCCAGAAGATGTAGAAGATGAAAGAAATTACGAACTTTTTTTTGAATACTTGGTAAATGAAGAAAAATTTGCTATTTTGAGATTGCCCTGTAAAATTTTCAAAGCTTTTTACATACTGCCCCTACCTAAGGAAAATGAGCCCCCTTTTTTCATGCCAATTGCAAATCGTCTCAATTTGGAATACGCGCCAAGAGAAGATAATAATTTGTTAGGATTACTGGTGAGAAAACCTCCTCGAGAAGAAGGGGAAATTAGTGAAAAAGAGGAAATTCCGGTATCTGATAAAGAAGGATCTCCTTCGAAAGCACAGCTATTTAGTCCAGTTTCACTTGAATCAGATCCTTTTTCGCCTGAATCACCACTGATGTCTTCAAAAAAACCAACTAGCTCAAAGGGCACATCTAAAAGCTATGATTTCATTCCGCGGACACCAGGGCCAAAAAATCGATATGATTCGTATATTGGTCGTTCAACTGAAGAAATTCCTTTTCTTACTGATGCAATCGATATGATTCAAAATAAAGCTGGACCCAGTAAAAAAGAAGGAACCAAAAAAGCGCTATCAACTCCCTTCGATAAAAATTTGGAACAAATATCATCTGAATCAGAAAATGAACTCGATTTCGTTACTCAAGAATCTAGTAATCGTAAGCGATCTAGATCTATCGCTATTGAGCATACTCAAAATAAGGTTCGTGCTTCTTCATCGTCATCATTTTTCAGTGTGTCACGTGACAAATCAAAATTATCTACCTCTTTAACAACTACAATTGAAAGAGTTTCTCCTGAAAAGCCAAAATCAGTATCCAATTCAAGCTATACTGTACAAACTTGTGAATCTAAGAAGAAAGTTATACCTCCTGAAGTAATAGATGTCAACGATTCATCAAACTCAGATCCAGATGCAGATTTTTTCCCTCCTACATCCAACACAATGTTAGCAGGATATTTTTCAACCAATTTGGGTAGCTTTGAATTCAAATACCACGTTATTTCATCAAATCGAAAAAATGTGCTCCAGGTGAGAATCATTTTAATAAGGTTTTGCCCTAATGGCTTTGTAACTCTAATACATTCCAGTCAAAATTTTAAACTTTAAATTAATTCACTTTTGTTATTTTGTCTTTTTCAGTATCTCCCTAAATCTCTCGAAACAAAAGGAAGGGCAAATACTAACGAAACCGAAGTATTTTTAACTGGTGAAATGCTGAGGCCTGAAAAAAAAGTGATAGCTTTTCAACTGTTACCTAACGATTCTTCGGAAAGTAAAAGAAACTTTGACAACTATGTTGCCCACCTACATTCTCGAACTAGGTATGGACTTCTTAATTACAAATCGGATACTTATCGTGCCTACGTTTTCCCGTGTGTAAAAGGCCATGCAATACTGAAAGCATTTGAAATTTGCAATTTGAAACCTTCATTTGCCCGGACTTATGAATTGTACGGAATCATCATAAAGAAATCGGGTCCAAATAAACCAAAGTCACTCGAAATTCAAGCTAAATCTAGACATCGATCAACATCATCTTTAACATCCATTGAAACACCAAGTCCTACATCTTCCTTACCGTTGCAAGTACCAGCTTCTTCATCCAGTCGTGATAACGTACAACAGAAAGAATCATCTTTTGAAACTGAATCATCAGATTACCAGGAAGTCGTAGAAAACAACGATTTGAAAAACTTTCCTGGTCTTGAAAGTAAGAAACTTGTCGAAGTCATCAATGAATCAGTTGATAATCATTGTAAATTGACTGCAAATTTAACTACCATGATACACAAAGCTACTGATGGTCAAGCTCAAGAAGCCAAAGTTGACGCATATGAGGAGTGCCGTCGACAGCTCCAAACTATTATGGAAGATGAAGAGAGGGAATTTCAAAAAAGGAAAAAAGCATACACAGTGGCGCTCGATATATTGACAACTCTATATAATTCACTTTCTGATTCCAACAACTAGAAGTCATCAATACGTGTGAAATATAGTATAGAAGTATAGAAGCAAAATTGACTGGCATAAACTTTAAGCATTTATCCTCTTCATAAAATTGTGCCTATGTAGAACTGTAAATTTTCCAAATTTTATTTTATTTATAAGGTAATAGAACTATTATATCAAACTATAAATCCATTGTTTTCCTCATAAATCCATTCATTTATTTAAATTGTTTTTCATATTACTCATCTCAAAAACCTAAATTAACAGACATTAACAATTGATATTATTGATATGTTACCCATTATAATTTAGTTACTCTTTTCAAATTTAAATACTTCAAAAATCGCTAAGAATGGAGCGAATAAAACACCATCCAGCATACTCAATGAACTCTAATGGATTATATATTCATCGTTGTTCTAATTTCAGAACTTTGATCCCAAAGAGTAAGATATGAAGTTGAATGATTATGATTAGAAGCTGTTTAATAAAATAAAGCAATTTGTAAAATTTAGTTCTCATCACGCATTAAAATTGAAATTGAAATAACGGTTAAAGTGTTTCACAAATTTTGATCTCAGTGTCTTTGGCCAGCAAGCAATGTCAACTATTTAGTCAAAAAATTAGAGTTGGTTCCATTTTTTGCTGATCACACCTTTTAATCTTCATCCGAATAGATGTAAGGATTGAAAATTAAAAAAAAAAACATGACTTTTCGTTCCCAAAGTAGTTAAAGTACAATGTATTATAAATCTCTTTCCTTATTCGTTCCATTCTTTTATTTTCATTCATTTCTAATTGGCATTTTAATTGCGTTCTTGACCTTCCTATTTCAGTTTCTTTTTTATCCTCCTTATTTCCTTCAAAGTTGACTGATTATAATAATAATGATGATAAAGAATATTTTAAAATCAAAATATCAATGTAAACGAAAAATATAAGTGAATAGAAAAAAAATCAAATACAAGAATCAACCAATTTGCCAGTTAATAATACTCTGTAACTTTTTTGCAAGTGACAGGTTGCTTTATTTAAATTTAATCATAATAATCAACTTGGATGATCCTCTGGAAAGGATAAGCCTCGAATCGTGCAAATATTGCTTCGTGTTCTCAAAGAAAATTAGACTCATGAAACTTTGGCTTATCCATTTTTCGGCGAAGGAAGGTGTTAAAAGCAATGATGATTCCAGGTCAAATATATCAACAGTGATACAGAAATCGTGTTTCTATCATGAAAAACAACCATAAAAGGGTTATGTAAAATATTTCTGGTTGACCGTGCAATTGTTGGGAAAATTCAAGGCTGTCAGGATTGAGCTAAGAAATAAAAGTAGCCACGGAAAAAGCTCAACTTTTTCTTATTCACAGTTCTTTTTCAGTTGATCATCGTCATGAACAAGAAAACAAGATTATGTTAAAAATTTGTGCTGTGACTGTTTACATCATTTTGAAGGACAATTGATTAACAGGTTAACAGAATTTTGATTCAGTTCTAGAAAAATTACAAAAGTAAATTCTGATGAGAAATGAAAAACCATAAGATATTGACCACTTGATAGTTGGAATTGGATCGTTTTTTCACATGCAACGAAACGATTTTCATTGCTGACTTGACTAAACGTGAAATCATTTGACTCTTATAGAAACACTTGTATTATCGAGTCACTAATCTTTTACTTACATATAATATGATCAATTTAACCTTAAATGTGAAGGTAACATCATTACAATATGATTCAATAATTAGCATAAGATAGCATCAAGGGTATTGTGTTGACTATTTTTATATACATGAGAATGATGGAAATAAATAAAAGGTTATCGTGAAATTTGATTAAAGGGTTCTTACTCTTAAGTTTCTTTAGCTAGTTAGGGCCATAATAGTTGACATCAGTAGATTCAGTTGAGGCACTATTTGGTCCTTGGGCTGACATTGGTTGTGAGATAAAATAACGACCATTACCTGTGAATCCACCATATTGATCACTACCATCACTGCCATCACCAACCCCACCTCTTCCAACACGTCCTCCATTACTTCCAGGGCCATTAATCCCGTCTCCACCATTTCCAATAGTGTTAACTCCATCATTACTGGCTCTTCTATCATTAATATTTCTATCGCCATTTCCATCGCCATTATTTCCGACAACATTTCCAGTTCCTACTGGTGATGAAGCTGAACCTAAACCTCCTGATCCAATCGATCCAAGTGTGCCTCCTAACATGGGAAATGCTGAATTAAAATGAGTCGACATTTTCTTTCTCTTCCTTTCCACACCTTCTTGGTCCACAGGTTTGGGCTTGTATGTGAAAGGTCGAGGTTCACTGTACTCACCGTCCTTTGGACGGTAAAGCTGTGCATAGACCTGAACCGATCTGTCAATGTTCATATTATGGTAAGGAGGTGTTCGAAAGACAATGGCAACTTGATGATGGACATCAGCTTCCGTAAAAGAGGCAAAAGCTTCCCAAGTCTGATTACCTTCCATATCAGTCTCAAAAAAACGTATTTTAATCTCTTTTTTGTTTACTTTTTCACAAAGCAGAAATACTTCCTCATTGCCTGTACAAACACCTGAATATTTGTCCATTCGAACGATCTTCAATTCACCAGAGTCGGGAGACTCTAATTAAATGTGAGACATCATGGAAATGAGAGGAAGAGAAAGGAAGAGAAACAAAGTGAATTAATGCAATTGAAAATATTGGATTGGTTGGGATTTGGGTTAATGTGGAAGAAGATAAATGGTACTTACTTTGATTAGCAATAGGTCGTGAAAATACAGCATCACAAATCGGAAAGTTCATTCCTTGATTCTGATCGAACGCTTGGAAACATATTTTAACACAGTTCAAGTTTATTCGTTTGGCTTCTCGATCAGCCTCTTCTCTTAGCCTTTCCCTATCAGCCTCTAACAAAACAAAACAAAACAATCAACAGTGAATATTGAGAGCCAGTTACAATGGCGGTCTTTTTATTTACATAATAATTTTGATTGAAATTTTCAATGGAACATTGTCTCACCGGCTAATTGTGATCTATCATTGAGGGCACAAATTAATTTATGCTCTTCCAGTTTACGTTGGTACAGAATCTCTGGAACCTCTTTTTTACCAACAAATAATATTCCTAAATTTTGAAATCTGTAGATGAAACAGAAGGTAAAATGAAATATGAGGTTTAAGGTTAGATTATGATTAAATGAGGATCAATACAATAAAGATCAATTTAGCTTTAGCAATGACATTAAAAACAAATTAAAGGTATGGATAGTTGAGCTTGATGGTTACATCATTAAATAGTGATGATGGTGATTGTGATTGAGCATCTTCTGAGTAAAAGTAAAACCGTTAACCTTGAAACAGACCTGGTTCCTCAATGATGATATTTGAGAAAAGAAATGATAAAGAAAGTAAATTAAGCTCGTGCATCTAAGGTCTTCTTCTTTTCGTCCTTTAAGACATTCTTCAAAAGAAATTCAATCAACCGGTTCCACAAGTCTCTTTTCTCTTTAAGCCTACTCTTTCCTGTTTCTTGTTCATGTAAGTTATTAAGAGGAATAATCGAGATACAATCTGAAAGGTACCTTTCCTCGATTCGTGTTATCAATGTATAATAATTAGCATTTAGACAATAAAAATGTCATACAATGAAGTAAATATTCAAGTAAGAAAAACTGGTGATTATTTCATGTTCTTAATGTTGATTTAATAATGATAAATGAGGTTGATAGTGGCAATATAATGTCAATAATTGTCTTCACATCTAAGCTTAGCTTTTTTGTTATTAACCACAATTTTCACAACAAAATATAAAAACAATTAGCTGCATCACGACCTGAATATAGCAAATTTGGTGGTTTCCTCACAGATTTTTAAAAAATTCAAACTGAGATAATGTTGTCAATGCTTTTACACTGCAAGATGAAACAAAGGTAAGTTTATTGGTTTTCCATGAAAATATTGCCATTACAATTGAACCAAAAACGATTCTATTGTGTGCTTATTATAAGGACAAATCAAGAAAAGACAAAAATAATATTCACTGGAATAAAATCTTCGGTGCATGAGGAACGAGTGCATAGAAATGAAAAGCCCTTATTAAACCATCATTATCTACATAATAACAATTAATTACATTGAGATTTGCGAGGTTTAAGATAATTTGGTCTGGCTGATCGAAAAACTGTTGATACCATCTTAAAGGTGAAGTTTTTTACTATCAGGTAACAGCTCCCACTAAAAAACCGTCAATAATGAAGTTACACATTTTTGTTTAAGAAAACAAAAAAATTATGTGATGAAAGAAGCATGAATAATCAGAAAAATTCTCAGCGAAAAATTCAAGTTACGAAGACGATGATGAAGATAGTGAATCCGGGAAAGACAACAAAGATGAGGAAGCTTCAACAGTCTTCTGAATTGGATTCATGATTAGAAAAATAAGCAGATGATGGGAGGTTTTCTCAAGGTAATATAAGTTTATAAAAGGTAATCAAGCTTTTTCGATGAATCTCAACAGTAAGTCAGAAGATAAACTAGCATTTTAATCTTATTTTCACCAGTGAAAATGAAACCGTTTTGATAAAATGAACAGTAACTGTTGTTTGGTTGCTCACAAAGGTACGAAAATAACTTGGCGATGAAAAAAATAAGGATTGAAAATGAAGATTAAAAAACAAAGTTACAGATACATGTGGGATTGAGTCATTAAAAAAGTCTGTTAAGATTTGGAGGGAAAAATTGACAAATTTGTAACATTGAAAGGGAAAGTAAATGGAAAGGGGGAAAAATAGAGGAATGTAAAAAGAAAGGAAAGAAAGCTAAAAGGAAAGATAAGAAATGATCTTATTACTCACACTGCTTGATTGTTTTCTCCAATCGGAAGAATACAAAAGCCATTTTCATTGCAATGTTTACCCATCAGCTTGTGTACATGGAGTTTTGGTGCTGAATCATTGGTATAAAGACTTGCTTTAATGTGTACTTGATTGGAAGACCTGTAATTCTCTAGCTTCATTAGGTAAGGATTCAGAAAAATTAATCAGAGGATTAAGATGTGAATTATTCAACATTTTCATAGTTTTTATCTTTGCTTTTGTTTTATAAACAAGATTATTAAGACTTTTCTTTTTCTCTTTTAGGTACCTTGACAGTTGGATACGTTTTCTTATTTTGTGAACTGTTTTCTCCCGTTAAACCGCCATGAGATCCCTTTTCACTTTTATACCGGTATCTTATCCGATTTGTTGGCTCTTCTACAATCCTTAAATACGGCCCTTTAATGGAGAGAAATTGACAAATTTGTAATTATTCTGATGGTCACTTAGAAGGTTACAAGGATTTTTTTCGCAAGACACAATGTGAAGGGAATTAAAGGAATAAGGAAGAGGTAAGAAATAAAAATTGTCTTGAAAGTTGAAAATAATATTGAAAGATTAGCTTATTTAGTTAATATTATGATTGGGAATGATGATGATGATCAGCATCAAACGTGCTGGTAAGAGTGATGTTGATGGTGATGGATGATTGAATTGTTGGAGGTAAAGTTGACATTTGACGTGAATGTTTACAATTGTCTCTAGACCATCATGTAATGTTTCAATTTGATTGTCCAGTTGTTTATCAGGGCCTCTCGCTCATTTTGCTGAATCAAATTTCTTTTCTTCTCCCAAAAAGTGTCTTGTTTTACTTATCTACCTTTTTAAAAAACGATTGAAGAATTGGTTTCATGCTCAAATGACCTTAATATGAAAGGTCACACTACTTTTACAGCTTTCCGATTGAAAGAAGAATAATAACTCGCTCTCTCTCTCACTATCCTTAATCATTCACTAATCATCTTTTTATACACATATACTTTTAAAAATATTGGTAAGCCTAACAACTTTTGAGAAGTTATGACAAGGAAATTCTAATGGTAATCTATCATTACTGAATCCTTTACAACCATTTTACTTTTTTTAACCAACTTTTTCCTTTCTTTTGCCCTCCTCATTCACTTAGCTCCAATGCCCTGAATTTTTATCTTGCTTTCTCTCATCACGATCATCATGTTTCATTTCTTCCATGACTTGTTGGATTTCTACAAACTTCTATGCGTTGGTGCTGTTTATCATTTGGCTCTCACCGGCAAAGCAATGATGTCAACCAGATTAAATGTTTTAATCTATCTCCCCTCTTACATCGGCAGATGAGCCAATTGTGTTATTATCACCAATCTGATTATTGTGCAAATAATCTCGTATCAATTGGACATTAAAATAAATTTATTCCATTTCTCTTAATGGAAGGATTATAATTCACAAACTATTGTTAGAAACCAGCCCCAAAACAATTCAATTTACTGAGTGATTAACGCGTGTGTTGGCTTAGCTAGATACTAATCAGAAGATTGGTCTTTTAGCATTAAATTACTAGTTTTAAAATTTTGTAATAATCCTTGATGAGCTGTTAAATTCATGTTTACATCATGGATGAAGAGGAATCATTCACGCGAATGCAGTCAGACACTTTCCGATGTTAGAGGAAGATACTGTTAATAATTTTGACGATCTGTTGGTTATTTCTTGCGAAATTCAAATTTAGTCAAACCAACTTCAATATGGTTTAAGATGAATTGAGCCAAGAAATACCAATTAATGGAGGTGCTTCAAACGATAAGGAATAAAGAATAAGCCCGAAAGAAAAGTTGTAATAATTACTTGAATTATCATCAGTTTCCATGGGACCCAATGATATACCTGTTGATCCATTTTCAAGTTGAATTTCAATTTTACTTTTTTTGGTATGATCGTTTAGTCGATAAAGGAAAGACGCAGCTACTGGTGACCCTAGACTACTAGATGATTGCAATGGCGATGATGATTGGTGTTGACCTGATGATGGTGGTGACAAATGATGATGGTGTGGATGAATTTGTTGCTGGTGGTGTTGGTGCTGATGTTGATGTTGATGTTGGTGTTGATGCTGGTGATGTTGAACTTGTTGAGAATGACCGGAATGAATTCTTGTCATGGATGATACGGTAGGATTTGATGAGCACTCCATAGAGAGTATCAATTGATCACAGATTCGCGATGATGAATTTACAATTGTTTGTGTTTGTTGCTGTTGATGTGGTGGTCCAAGAGCTGCGTTATTTGACGATAAAGAAACAGGAACTGGCGAAAGCTCTGTATTAATTAGATTGATCAATCCCTCTGGATTATCGTATGGTGAATACTGGTCGTTTGGTCCATTTCCAGTATCATTTACTGGAGTTGCAGATATACCCGATGTAAGTACAGAAGTTGGTAAACAATTCTGTTGGCCCAAAATAAGACCTCCTGAATTGGGATCATTGGTACAGAAAACTTTCTTCTCTTCGTACGACATTCGTTATGGTTGGTATTTAAAAAAAGAAGCCAAGAATCAATCGAAAATGAATTAACAAAGAATCAAATTCGATGTGATTCTATGAGGTACAGGGGACAAGTTTTTGCTTCAACTCACTCACATGAAGCAGTAAAGATTTAGATTGATATTGACTTTATCCCCGTTATATTAGATTAAAATCACAAGATTTTGATTAATGTTATATGTACTTGAAAAAGAACAACGATGATTACAATAGCAATAGAGTAATCTTGGAAGCATAAATGATCGTGTTTAAGTAGTAGCACAACGAATCAAGATGAAACAATCACAATGGACACTGTTAATCCGGCTCATTTGAATTAAAAGGATACAAACAAACTTCACCTCAATAAGATATGCAAAGTGGATCAAGATGTTAACAGCGATACGTTTAAAAGAACTAGTTATTTAAATTAACCAAGTTCGAGCGACACACGTTTCAATGACAACTTTATCTTTATCAAGACTGGTATGTTGGCTTTGTATCTTTATCTGTTGACGCGTCTTTTGTTGCAGATTTCATAGACTTTTAACAAACTTTTGACACTTTTGCCTTTTTATTATTTTTTCACCATTTAGATGTATACACTTGCATTTGAAACAATGATGAGGTTGGTACTATCGGTGCTTGTGTGCTTATGTTGAATGGTTAGTTTTGCGTGTGATGAGATGTCTTCTCTCTCAAACTCTCCTGATCGCTCACTCATTTACACACTTAACACTCACACAGGCAATCGACCAACAATCAAGAAGTAGAAGGAGCCAAAAGAAGGAACGAATTATAAGGAAAAATTGAATGTAGAGGTATTTTCTGTTTCTCCCTCTCTCTAGCTTCCTCTCTTCTTTTTCTCTTTCTTCTTTTTTCAGGGTTACCATGTAAGGTAGACACTTTGTAAGCTGCAACGCCAATACACTTACACATACAAGCACAAATCCTATCAAACGTTGGCAAAAAAATTAAGATGAACAGAATAGATGATGGACAGATTGACAATGGATCCGTTCAAATCAAGTGTAGATGGACAGCCAAACAAAATCAAGTTGCACAAGCAAAAGATTAGCAGATTTGTACTCGCCTTTCCTGGTTAAATTGGTTTGGGTTTTACTTTGTTGACAGTAGACTCATCCAATTGACATAACAAGTTATAAAACAGTTGTTACCGTTCAACATACAATCACCAAGTTGACAATGGAGTGGAAAGAGAGAGAGAGGAATCAAGCAAATTATCAAAGCAAGGTTGTTAATGATGATTAGTGAACAAAAGTCAACTCAAAATGTATGGAAAAAATGAGCAACATTTATAGTTATATTAATTCTAATAGTAGATACAGTCTTAATCATAATCCAAACCGATTGCTGAGTCTTAGTCAGAAACTTTGTCTTGGGTTAATTAGCTGGAAAAACACTTCATTATATGACAACGATATATTAATATACACATGAAGTTAGTAATGAAGACGGTAATTTTTTTCAGGGGTAGTTAATTTGGTAGGAAGGTAGGGAACCCAACTCATCTCTTCACCACAAAATAACGTTCCAATGTAATAACAAAGAGGGAAAAGAAGGAAAGAGAGACAAGAAAAGGGAGAGAAAATTATCAGTGAGATGAGAAGGGAAAATTGTAGGAATAGCGACGCAAAAAAGAGATGATTAAAGAGATTGAATGAACATTTTGTAAAGGAGGGAAAGGGAAAGACATAGAAAGCGAAACACTTCGTCGTTAATTATTAGGCCAGCCGTTGTGACGAAATCTTTATTCACTCCTTTCCCCTCCTCTTTACCTGTCGATTAACTCACCTACTCCATTTATTATCCCCAACTTTCTCTCTCTCATCATCTTTCATCTCTTATCCAAAAACACGTCTTTTGCTGTAACATATTGCATCTCAATATATTTTGGTTGCTTCAATCATGCTTACAAATGTCGATTTTGTCAACTGTTGAAACTAATTTTGTCTTTCATTTTTCTTTATATCAATCTGGTTTCAATTGCGATATCTATGCACCTGAATCTTATCAACTCGCTTGGTAAAAGTCAGAAATGATACCTTGATAGTTTAATTTTTTTATTGTTGCCGTTATCTTCTCCTTTTCCAGTTGTGAATAACCTAAGGTATTATTAACCATGATCGTTGTCATCCTTTTTAGCATTACTTTAAATAAATGTAATTAATGTTATTATGATTAACAATAATTAATACCTCGTAATCTTTCCTGCCTGGCCATCATTCACTTGCATTGGTATCTTTTTTCATAGATACCTTGAAAAATTGTATTTTGTTTTCATTATTCAACTCGTTAGTGTAACTCATATCAGTAAACCTTCAATTTACACACAAAAATTGTAAATAGAAACTGAAAACATTCATCTTCACCTGACCTCAATTGAATAGCTCATGTTGTCAATAATTGAATTATTGTCACCGTCCAATTATTATACCTTATTATTAACTGTTAACCGGATGAGTATATCAAGTCATTAGTCAGGTAATCATGAACAATTTTTCCTTTTCACAAGTTACAATTAAACTTTGATTCTAATGTAAACTTTTTGTTCACCTTTCTTTTAACAGGTAAGGCGGTTTAGGAAAATGGATTGCAATTAATTTACTCATCAACAACAATGAATTAACCATAATGGATGCTCAAAAATATGAACGTGTTATCTGTTACCCGTAACGAATCATCATATTCATTGACTTTTGTTTGCTAAAAGAAACATAAATTCACTCATTCCTCTGTTATTTACAGATAATATTAAATTCATGACGTATTCAGGGTTTTCCTCACACGTGACTGATGATGATAACATGATCAAGTTGTGATTATTTCTCTACTTCTCCTTGATCATCAAGTCATCATCTTCCTCTATTCCAACTCTTTTCTCTTCATCCATTGATCTTTTCTTTCAAACATTCACTCTCAATGTCTTATCTTTTCTCTCTCTCTTTACAGTGAATTGGTTAATTACGGATCTGTTTGATTGTACATTTCAATTAAAAGAGAAAAAGATTGATCAGAATCATCATCAGCTTCATCAGCATCATCATTCTTGAAATTATCGTCACTTGTATCACCAACATGATCCGTATCACAACAGTCATGAGATGTTCATTTTTATGATTTTTTTCTCTCATCTGATTGATCTGATAGAAATATTTTTGAGAGTTGCTTTGCTATTCATTATGTAAGTTATTATGTTTGATTTCAAGTTGAATGGATTATTGAGTGCATACCAATTTACAGATAATCTGCATCATTTGTTTGTTTATGCTGATTATTTTGTTTGTTTATTGTTATTCTCAATGATTAATAACCAAAGACCAAGTTACGTCTTTTGTGTACATTTAAAACATTTTAACCAAAATATTAACAATTTACTTTTATCGTTCTTTTCAGGTTCCAACTTCGTAAATGTGCCAATAACGAACTTGCTTTTTGTATCTTTTGCCATAAAACCAATTATTCCATTTCTCAAGTGCATCTTACCAAATGATCAACAAATCTAACGTTGATTCCAAATTATTCAAGATAACAAAGCTGATGAAACAGATTTTATTGTTCTCTTTTCTTCTCTTCTCTTGCCTTTTACATTGTTCTTTTTACACCTAAGAAATCACTTTGGACCTAATCAATACATTGACTGATTGGAGACCGCTTACTTATCTGTGAATTGTTATTAAAAAATATTGATGATGATGATGCCCTTCACCATTTATCAGTCAACCTTGAGTAGTTTATTGGAATGAACAAGATGAGAAGAGGAACGAAAATTAGGCAGAAAAAAGAGAAACAATAACTAGATAATGTTTGACTTTTCATGTTGACACGGAAAAATTAATAAATAATAATAGTGGTAAAATTAATGGCTGTAGAGTAATTAGCTACTATTGGCTAACCGTTACTTTGACATCTGATTGTTGAACTGATGGCGAGAACTGAATTTCAAATGAAAATATCAATTTTGATGAAAATTAAAGGCAAAAATAATGGTATTACCATTGTTGAATTGGTTTACTCAAGCTTCTTGTTACGGCAAGAATAGACAGAAAGAAATTGGAAAAATGCATTTTAATTACGTTTGATCAAGTATAAAATGTTATGAAGCATTGAATCTTGATTGAAGGCTGCTCTTAATTGTTGAAACCTGATTAAGTAATGTGATTGTCAAAAAGTACGATTAAGGTAAAAAGTAAAAAACAATTTGATGAAGCATGAATTAACGAGAAGAAAGTTGAAAATCTAAATATTGATTATCATAGTCAATAATCAAATGACAATATTTAGCAAATACGCATCACCAATTGTGAGTTTCTTGGAAAAAGTGATTCAAATGATGATTAATCGACAGACAATTGATTAAACTTTAAAATCACAAGGCAATCATCCATGTATTTGATCAGAAATTAATTCAATTACATATTTTAAACAGTATTGGCCCTTTAAATGAATCAAACATTGAATCGTGTTTTGTTTTTCAACCTTTCCTTGAAATATCTGACCATTGACAATGACTGATGAGTCCTTTTGATTTTCAAGTTTTTAACGTCATTTGAGTTTCCCTTTTTGAAGGTATTTACGGATATAATGGCTAATTAATTGTTGTTTATTAGTGGTAAGATAATGGCTTGACGTAGTTATTGATCATTAATTGTAACATAACAGCATTTGGTGTTGATGGTGAACATGAAAATTGATTGAATCAATGAATGTTGAAAAAGTTAATCTGAATGACAGTAATGACAATGACGGTGAAAATAATGGTTCAACCAGAGTAACATTTGAGAATCAAATTGATTGCTGGTTTATTTTATCAAAAGTAAATGTTAATTAACTATTGTCCTTTAAATGTCTTTTGATAATTTTTCCTAGTTACTTAGATATAAGCTCATTCCGTTGGATAAATTGAGTTAACTCGCAAAAATCAAATGATCTTAGTCAAGTAAAAGTATTAAAGTCCAATTTTTTATCAACATTCAATGAAAATTAATGCGCTATATTATAATGATTATCTTTCATTTTTCTTTCAACAACATTGTCTTTCTCCTTTCATCTCTTGTGAAGTTATTGTTATATTTTTGGTAATAATAACTGGGATTTTCCAGAATAAACTGTGCAAATTTCAAAGGAGTAAACTGGTTTTACATCAAAACCACTTTAAATAGTATGATTACCGTCACAAACAATTTATGATCACAAAAACTTAAAGTTAACCAACAAAAACAAAATCTGTAGACTTATTTGGGTCCATCTGTTGGTGATCAAACATATTATTATTAACCAGGAATAATTTCTGGTAACCAGTTATTTCAAGTTTCCCACCAAATATCCAGTTATCCAACTTATCTCTAATTTTTATGTTAACTGTTTGGTGTACAATCTGATATTTTATTAGTTGACAGATATTAGATTTCGTATTCAGAAATCGACAAGAAATGGTAAGTAACTCGTTTGTTTTAGTCTTAAGTGTAAAAAAGTTAATATTTTACCTATTGATATCTTTAATAGGCTACACATGAAAACCTCATTATGATTTCAGTTACTGGTGATTATGGCATGACTGATGATGGTTTGTCGAAATGGAACCTGGAATGAGGAGTGAAAATATGAATTGACCGAATTCACTGATTCTTTTTCATTTTTTGATTAGTGGCTCGGTCAGGATCCATATTCCACATTTCAACTGATACTCCTAAAATAATCAATATGTATATGTAAAATTTAGGATAATTTTTTTAAGGTGTATTTTTGTGGTTGAGGGTTTACATATTGTTGGTTTTGGAATACAGAGTTGTGGAATTGTGATTCTGTTTTTGTATATTCCGTGGATATATAGATGAGGTTTTTTTCTTAGGTGCACATATTTTTTGCATTGTGTTAGCCAGTGTAGACTGTCAGGGTTGACGTAAGCACACGTACAGCATTTGTCTTTGAAGATGAAATCATAGAGTCCAAAGACAAAGGAGACAGACAATCTCGATGTAATACAGAAAGAATCACTGCGTAACTCAATATTCCGTCAATACGTTGTTGTTTTTAACAAGGATCAAGTAACATAGGCAGTTCAGTATATTGTACGAGAAAACAGTATTTCATGAAATCAAATCCTCGACCAATACGAACATGTTTACTTGATAAATGAGGCCATTTCTTTGCTAATATTTCAGCTCTATTTTGGTAACGGAGTAGATAATAATTGTAGAATGAAATTGAACGATTATTACGTCTACAGTACCAATCAATGTATTCATTTGACTTTTTGGTTACTTTTTCGAAGACCATGATTTCAATAAGAATAATACGAGGAAGTAGCTCTAAAAGTTCAGGAATATTTTCATCAGATATTGCTCCGCCTCCTCTGATAGCCAAATTTTTCAAATTTGGGTATTTGCTCAAAATACGTCTTAAAACTGACCAATCGTGATCTTCCTCCTGAAATTTTAGAAAGAGAAATACGAGCATTAGAAGAATCTGAGTTTAAATTTTTATAGAAATACTAACAAACTCAATAACCAGATCTTCTAAGAAATTATTTTTGATGCCACTGTTGACATAAAAATCTTTACCAGTTTGAATATAATGAAAGGCACTTTTTAAAGCTGGACAATGATCTGCAAGACTGAATCCGTAATATTGATGTGGCTCCGAATCTGGTTCCGCAGTTGCGTGAAAAATCATTTCTAAAATCTCTAGCTTTTCAAGAACAGGTCCAGTATAAAATTGGTCTCCTTCAGCGCACCCTGTTAATAAGCATCAAGTTACGCATATACTGAGTACCATATAAACTAAAAAACAGTTGATACTTACAAGGGAAGTTAGCAATATGAAGTCGCTTTAGGTTTGGAAAATGTTTAGCATAACTGGAAAACTTGGAAATATTGCAATGGGAAATGAATAACTGCTTTAGCTTCGGTCCCTGAACATCGTTTGTAAAAAAATCATAACAATTTGGAGCTGCTAACATTTCAACGGATGGAATATCAAATGTGTTTTGAACAATACTATCATGAAATAAATTCAGTAAACACAATCCTTTGATTGGCAATTTAGAAATGAAGTCCACGTCAAGGGTTCCACCTACATCTAAAATCTTCAAAAATATTGATAAATTAATCTGCCAGAAGCAATCCCTTGTCTTGATTTCCGTTAATGCTTAAACCAACCTTGAGTCTAGGAAACCATTTTGATATTTCAATTTGCTCTAGTCGGTCATCACGATTAAAGTATAGCGTACTGACAGGAAAACAATCCCTTTGTAATGAATCTTTATTGAAAATGTGGGCCTTTATTAGTATCATCTTTATTGATTATAATATTGTGTTCACATTAAAATTCGAACTCACTTGTTAAGTATTTAACATTGTTTAATCTTTCGAGAACCAAGTATTTCCATCTTTCAGAGACTGTTGATAGACTAAAGACAATTAGTAGGGTTTTCAAAGTATAATAACAATGTTAATTGAGATGAAAGCTATATTTACCTGCAGCACAATTCATAAGAGTCCCAAATTTATTGAAAAGATTGAAAATATATAAAAAGCAGTCATCGGGCAATTGATCAATATGCATTTCATCAACTCGAGAAGGGAATGAATACAGCTTGAAGTTAGGCCGGCTTCAAAATCATAAAATTTATAGCTCGATAAATAGCAACAAGAAGCTATTTACACTTATTCAGATTATCTGATATTTCATTTTATTTCAAGTTTGTTTCATTGCTTGATTCATAGTAAACTGTTCATTACTAAACAACATTTGGCCTTTTTATAACTACAAGCTTCACTTTTTTCACATTGTCTTTTAAAGTTGATGAAATGAACATCGATAATTTGCCTGATGACTGCTTTTTATATATTTTCAAACATTTTTATAGATTTGAGACTCTTATGAATTGTGCTTCAGGTAAATATAGTTTTCATCTCATCTCATCTTATGCTTTCAAAGCCCTAACAATTGTCTTTAACTATCAACAGTCTGTAAAAGATGGAAATACTTGGTTCTCGAAAGATTAAAAAATGTTAAATACTTATCAGGTGAGTTAAAGCTTTAAAGTGAATATAACATTTGTTATAAATTAATAGAGATGATAGTAATAAACTCCTTTTTTCGATAAAGATTCATGGCAAGGGGGTGGTTATCCTGCTAGGTATACTATTTTCTTGGAAGCTGATGTTCGATTAGAGCTATTAGAATGGTTTCCTAAACTCAAGGTTGGTTAATATTCTGATTAATACTAGATTTATTGCAATATTGTAGTCTGAACTTTTGATATGCAATTTCAAATATTTTTAATTTTATGCGCGTTAATGTTGTCGTAAGACGTTTTTATTTTAAAAAGGAGTGCAGGCAAAAACTCGAATGCTCGAGTTAAGTGTTGAGCTTTGGTAGGTTTTTAGAAGCATACAAATTTAGCTCTAAAATAATTTCTCCGATCGATATTTTCCGAGATAATCGAGGTCAAAGTTTAAACTTCGATCGCCTTTTGTTCAATTATGGAAGTAGATTTTTCATGAAAATCTTTTACTGATGTAACTTTTGATTGTCAACTAGAAAACGTGTTTATTTTGACAGTAAAAATTTCTATTTCTGTGCAACAGATCAGTTCCCTTTCCACTTTCTGAGACTGTACGAGTTAGAGAGCTGAAACTTATTCTTCGATAAAAATTGTTGGTACACATCGACGATCCGCATTTTTCTCGATTTTTCAACAGATTGAAAAAAAGTGTCCGATCAACCATGTTTAACCACGTTTGAACTCGACTTTCTCGAAAAATGTGGATAAGAGAAATTTTAAATCGCACAAATAGGCTCAGGTTTTATGTCCCGGCAAACCAACAAACTTCAATTTAAAAGAAATTAATTTCACCAATTTTTGCCCATTTGTGTCTATTTGTGGATAAATGAGCACTTTAAGGCATCAAATGGTGTCTATTGATTTAAAATATCCCAAATTTTCGGGACTGGGCCAATCTTTCCAATCTTGAACAGCCCGACAACTGTATAATGAATCTGTCAATGAATATAAAGCATCTTAACATTTGATCAACCTTTCATCATAATCTTGAGTAAAAAGTACGATTAAAGTGAGAAGTGAAAACAATTTGAGGAAGCATGAATCAACGAGAAGAAAGTTGAAAATGTAATATTGATTTTCATGTTAATAATCGCAGCCATATTAAAATATTATACAAATTACATTAAATGTAGAATAATAAAGTTTATTTTTCTTAAGATTTTAGATATTGAAAGAGACTTTGATAAGGATTTCATCTCGAATGTAAAAGTCAAAGGACTGCAACTTGCATATAACTATTATATTGATTTGGAAGATGTCACCTGTCATAACCCATCGCTTGAAATGCTATCGATTTCACACTTCTGCAGTTTTTTCGCCAACGAGATCCAAGGACCAACACTGAAACAATTATACGTAGAATGTTTGGTTTCTGATTTTGCCAGTTATGCTAAATATTTTCCGAACTTGAAACGACTTCACATTCAAAAATACGGGAGTGAGATATATTTGTTTTCTTGTTTTATTTGAGTCTCTATCTTAAAATATTAATATATTCGCATCTTCTTTTTTATGAAACAGGCTTCATGACAGATGCGTTTGCTGACAGGCGCTATACTGGACCTGTTCTTGAAAAACTTGAGATTTTAGAAATAATTTTTTATCTTGATCAACATGGGATGCTGGATAATTATCATGGATTCAGCCTTGCAGATCATTGTCCAGCTTTGAAAAGTGCCTTCCATTATATTCAAACGGATGAAGAATTCTTCGTCAACAGTGGAATCAAAAATCATTTCTTACAAGATTTAGTTCTTCAATTTGTTAGTATTAATATTTCTTTAAAAAATTTAAACTCTTTTTTACTATGCTTCGTGTTTCCCTTCCTAACATTACAGAATGAACCACAAGGTTGGCCAGTTTTAAGACGCATATTGAGCAAGTATCCAAATTTGAAACATTTGGCTATCAGAGGAAACCCGGGCATATCTGATGAAAATATTCCCGAACTTTTAGAGCTACTTCCTCGTATTATTCTTATTGACATCAGATACTCGCCAAAAGTAACCGAAAAGTCAACTGAATATATTGATTGGTACTGTAGACGTCATAATCGTTCAATCTCATTTTACTACCAAAAAAGACCTTTAATAACAAAGAAATGGCCTCATTTATCAACCAAAAGAGTACGAATCGGTCGTGGATTTGATTTCATGAAATACTGTTTTCTCAGAAATTATAATGAGTTGCCTTTTCTACTCGATCCTGATGAATAAACAACATTCTATGGAAATTTCAACCCTCATTATTCCTGAAATGTTTTCGATTGGAATCCGTCCTGTAATATTTTTAATCATGTTTCAGTTTGTTGAGGTATAATCTATTAATCTATCACAAACTTTCGTAAGCTTTTCTTGAAAGTACGGCTCAATAAATAACATAAGTCAGCTATTCTCACTTATTATGAACATTTTAATATTCTACATATTTACTACATTAATTGAATGAAAGCTTCTGTTTGTTTGAAAAAAGTAATTTGCAAAACTATATAACTCATAACATTAAACATCACCAAAGTTTAGGCTTTGAACACAGTGTGATAAAAGTTATTGATCAATCAAAGTTGCACAAATAAGTGCACTTATAATTTATTTTCCGCAACAGTCTAGTTGTATGGACACAATAATTAACTAACAATTTTTAATATCAATCACTGAAAATAACATGAAATAAAAAAGCTAATTCTGAAGGTGGTTGCTGGTCAATTTTTTGACCAGGAATAATGTCATTTAATGTTGGTGAGAAAATCCGTTAACAAGAGGAAGTGCAATGAGAATAATGGATAAATGAACACACGAGCGTCTATTTTGTGATCGGATCGAAATGTGTGTTGAATTAACGCTCGTCCATGTATTCGATTGATTGCTGGTTTATTTTATCAAAAGTAAATGTTAATTAACTATTGTCCTTTAAATAGTATGATTACCTTCACAAACAAGTTATGATCACAAAAACCAAAAGTTAACCAACAAATCTGTAGACTACTTTGGGTCCATCTGTTGGCGATTAAACTAATTAATTTAACCAGGAATAATTTCTGGTAACCAGCTGTCTGAGTAGTAGGAATAAGCTATTCACACTTCAATTATCTGATATTTGTTTTATACCAAATCGGTTTCATTTCTTGATTCTGGATAAACTGTTTATCACAATTCTTTGACATTTGGCCTTTTTATAACTGCAAGCTTTATCTTGTTTTTACATTGTCTTTTAAAGTTGATGAAATGCATATTGATCAATTGCCCGATGACTGCTTTTTATATATTTTCAATCTTTTCAATACATTTGGAACTCTTCTGAGTTGTGCTGCAGGTAAATATAGTTTTCATCCCAATTAACATTGTTATTATACTTTGAAAACCCTACTAATTGTCTTTAGTCTATCAACAGTCTGTGAAAGATGGAAATACTTGGTTCTCGAAAGATTAAACAATGTTAAATACTTGACAGGTGAGTTGAAACATTAATGTGAACCCAACATTTGTTATTAACCAATAAAGATGATAGTAATAAACTTCTTATTTCGATAAAGATTCATTGGAAAGGGATTGTTATCCTGCTAGTTATACTATGTTCTTTGAGGATGGTAATCGATTAGAGCGATTAGAGCTATTAGAATGGTTTCCTAGACTCAAGGTTGGTTAATATTATGATTAATATGATAGAGTAAGCAACATAAAATTGAAAACCAAAACCTAATCCTCAACTTTGTCAAATTGGAAAGATCAACGTAAAGATGAAAAACTATCAAATTGAGCCATTACTTACATTATGACTAGAAGCTGGAAACAATTTGAAGAAGCATTAATTAACAAGTTGGAAATTTAATATTGATTAACATGTTAATAATCAAAGCCAAATTACAATATGCAAATTACATTAAATGTAAAATAATAAAGTTTATTTTTCTTAAGATTTTAGATGTTGAAAGAAAACTTGATAATGATTTCATCTCGAATGTAAAAGTCAAAGGACTTCAATTTAAATGTGACTATTATATTGATTTGGAAGATGTCACTTGTCATAATCCATCGCTTGAAATGTTAGCGATCAAACAATTATCGGATTTTTTCGCCAATGAGATCCAAGGACCAATAATGAAACAATTATTCGTAACCAGTTGTAGTGTTTCTGAATTTGCCAGTTATGCTAAATATTTTCCGAACTTGAAACGACTCCACATTCAAAAATACGGGAGTAAGCTATTCATATTCTTGTTTTATTTGACTCTATCTTATAATATTTTCATATTTTCTTGTTTATAAAACAGGCTTCCTTTTTGATGACGAATTTTATGCTGGACCTGTTCTTGAAAAACTTGAGATTTTAGAAATATGTTTTCATCTTGAACAAAACGGGCAACTAGACCATTATCATGGATTTAGCCTTGCAGATCATTGTCCAGCTTTGAAAAGTGCCTTCCATTATATTCAAACTGATAGAGAATTTTTCGTCAACAGTGGAATCAAAAATCATTTCTTACAAGATTTAGTTCTTCAATTTGTTAGTATTTCTTTTAAGAATTTAAACTCAGATTTTACAACGTTTCTTGTTTCCCTTCCTAACATTACAGCATGAACATCAAAATTGGTCAGTTTTAAGACGCATATTGAGCAAATACCCAAATTTGAAACATTTGGCTATAAGAGGAAACTCGGACATATCGGATAAAAATATTCCCGAACTTTTAGAGCTACTTCCTTGTATTACTCTTATTGACATCAGATACTCTCTAAAAGTAACCGAAAAGTCAACTGAATATATTGATCGGTACTGTAGACGTCGTAATCGTTCAATCTCATTTTACTACCAAAAAAGGCCCAAAATAACAAAGAAATGGCCTCATTTATCAACAAAAAGTGTGCGAATCGGTCGTGGATTTGATTTCATGAAATACTGTTTTCTCAGGCATTATGATGATTTGCCACTTTTACTCGATCCTGATGAATAAACAACATTCCTTAGAGAAAATATTTAAGTTTCAATACTCATTATTCCTGAAATGTTTTCGATTGAAATTCGGCCTGTTTCAATAATTCTAATCATGTTTCAGCAGGTTGAGCACAAACTTTTGTAAGGTTTTTTTGAAAGTACGACGCAATAAATAACATAAGTCAGCTATCCTCACTTATTATGAACATCGGATACCAATCAGTTATTTACTGTATTAATGAAAGGAAAGCGTCTGTTTTACCGAAAAAAGTACAGTGAGGTACCAGTAATCGCGACTAAATTTGATAATGTTATAAGACCCCTTTCATAGGTTGTTTACATTCAAATATTTGGATAAATGTGATTATAATCATCGAGTCTCGGCGTTTTAACATGCAGTTCAAAAAATTAGAAACTCTTTCAATTGTTCACCGCAATATTTGGTCAAAAGAAGATCTATAAATTTAGTCGCAACTACCGGTACCTCACTGTAACAAGACTTTCAAATCAATATCCAATTAAGACGATCTTTTTAATCGATCACTGAAAATAACATGAAATGAAAAGATATCAAAGCTAATTCTGAAAATGGTTGCAGGTCGATTTTTGACCAAAAATGCAATCATTTAATGTTGGTAATAAAATCGATTAACAAAAGAAAGTGCAATAGGAATAATGGAATCCATTAAATGGTTTAATGGACACATGAGCGTCTATTTTGTGATCGGATCGAAATGTGTGTTAAATTAAGGCTCATCCCTGTGTACGTATATCTAGACAATTACCTTTTTTGCAGACATGAATGAACGAGAAGAAAGTTGCAAATCTAAATTTTGATCATGATAGTCATTAATCAAAGCCAAATGACAATATTTAGATTTTTACAATGATTGTTAATTTATTTTAGTTGTTGTTTATTAGTGGAAAGACAATGGGTTGACGTAGTTATTGATCATTAATTGTAACATAACAGCATTTGGTGTTGATGGTGAACATGTAAATTGATTGAATCAATAAAAAATGTTGCAAAAAGTTTATTCGAAGGACAGTAATGACAATGGCGGTGAAAATAATCATTAAATTAATGGTATAATTTGTGACAAAATTTTTCTTGAAAAGTCACACTTATTCAATTATCTGTCATTTCATTTCAAGTTTGATTCATTACTTGATTCATAATAAAATGTTCATCACTAAACAATCCCATCATACTTGCCTTTTTATAGCTGCAAACTTCATCTTGTTTTCACATTGTCTTTCAAGTTGCTAAAATGAACATCAATAATTTGCCTGATGAGTGTTTGTTACACGTTTTCAATCTTATTAATAGATGTGATACTCTTCTTAATTGTGCTAGAGGTAAATATAGCTTTCATCTTAATTAACATTGTTATTATACTTTGAAAACCCTACTAATTGTCTTTAACTATCAACAGTCTGTGAAAGATGGAAATGCTTGGTTCTCGAACGATGTAAAAATGTTAATTACTTAACAGGTTAGTTGAAACTTTAATGTGAACCCAACATTCGTTATCAACCAATGGATATGATAGTAATAAACTCCTTTTTCGATAAAGATTCATTGAAAGTGGATGGTTATCCTGCGAGTCGTACTATCTTATTTAAGGATGATGATCAATTAGAGCGATTCGAACTATTAAAATGCCTTCCTAAACTCAAGGTTTGTTAATATTATGATTAATATAATAGAGTAAGAAATTGGAAATGTGAAAGATGAAAGTTAAGATGAAAATTATAAAATTGTGTCATTACTTACAATAAGTCGGAATTTAATTATCAATTTGCTATTCGTTTATAAATTGACTTTAAGATTCTAGGAAAAGAGGATAAGGACAAAGAATTTATTCTTGATCAGTTCGACAAAGTTATATTCATGTCCATGAATCAAGTAAAGTGAATATAAATCATCCGAACATTTGATCAACCTTGCATTTTGAGTAAATGGTACAAGATTATAATATAAGGTTAGGTTGAGGTATAACTAAATTTTAGTTAATTTAATGGGAAATATTGTCCATCTAATTATTATTATTAATAAGTGTTATAAAATGGTCAAAATTATTGCATATAAAATAACAAAGTTTATGTTTCTCTAGATTTTAGATGTTAAAAGAAAACTTGATAATGATTTCATCTTGAACGTAAAAGTCAAAGGACTTTTATTTAAATGTGATATTTATCTTGATCTGGAAAATGACACTTGTCATAATCCATCGCTTGAAATGTTAGCGATCAAACAATTATCGGGTTTTTTCGTCAATAAGATCCAAGGACCAAGACTGAAACAGTTATTTCTAACCAGTTGTAGTGTTCCTGAATTTGCCAGCTGTGCTAAATATTTTCCAAATCTGGAGAGACTTCATATTTATGAACAAAGCCGTAAGCTATTAATAAATTTATTTTCTTGTTTTATTTGATTCTTTATCTTATAATATTCGTATCTTCTTTTTTATGAAACAGGGTTCTTGGATGACGGGGCTTATATTGGACCTGTTCTCGAAAAGCTAGAGATTTTGGAAATGGGTTACCGATCACGAGTGGATACATGGAAATATCATGCATTCAGCCTTGCAGATCATTGCCCAGCTTTGAAAAGTGCATTTCATTACATTCAATATTTTGAAGAAATTTTGGTCGACAGTGAAATCAAAAATCATTTTTTAGAAGATCTGGTTATTGAGTTTGTTAGTATTTCTATGAAAATTTAAACTCAGATTCTTCTAATGCTTCGTATTTCTCTTTCTAAAATTTCAGGAGGAAGATCAAGATTGGTCAATCTTAAGACGCATTTTGAGCAAATATCCAAATTTGAAACATTTGGCTATCAGAAGAGAGCATGAATATGACACAGGAATATCTGATGAAAATATTCCCGAACTTTTGGAATTGCTTCCTTGTATTAGGCTCATTGATATCAGAATATCACGAAAAGTAACCAAAAAGTCAACTGAATATATTGACCGATACTGTAGACGTCATAATCGTTCAATTTCATTATATTATGATTATGAAACCAAAATCACTGAAAAATGGCCTCATCTATCAACTGAATACAGTCGTATTGGTCTTGGATTTGACTTTATGAAATTCTGTTTCCTAAGAGATTTTGATGAATTGCCACTTTTACTCGATCCTGATGAATAAAACAATATTCCTTAGAATAAATATTGAGTTTTGAATATTAAAGTTTCAATTATTCCCGAAATGTTTTCAATTGAAATTCGGCCTTTGTTAATACATGTATTCCTAATCATGTTTCAGTAGGTTGAGGTTTAATTAACAAATTAATCACAAACTTTTTCTGAAAGTACAGTTCGATTAATAGCAGAGGTGAGCTAGTCTCAATTATTGTACGGACACAATGCGTAACTAACAAGACTTTTAAATCAATATCCAATTGAGAAGACTTTTTTAAATTAATATCAATCACTGAAGTAAAAACACTGAAAATAACATGAAATGAAAAGGTATAATAGCTGATTCTGCAGATGGTTGCTATTCAATTTTTTGACCAAGAATATAGTCATTTAATGTTGGTTAGAAAATTCTTTAACAAAAGGAAGAACAATGAGAATAATGGATTAATGAACATCTATTTTGTGATCGTATTCAGGTTCACGTTCTTCCCTGTGTCCTTATTTTCATGCCTCTACAAACTCACCAAATTTGTCAAAAGATTTCGCTACAAAATTTATAGCTCGATGAATAGCAACAAGTGGCTATTCACACTTATTCAATTATCTGATACATTTCTTGTTATTTCAAGTTTGTTTCATTGCTTGATTCATAAACAATTATTTCACATTCGGCCTTTTTATAAAACGCTTTATTTTGGTTTTGAAGTTAATAAAATGAATATCGATAAATTGCCTGATGACTGTTTATTACATATTTTCAATCTTTTAAATCGATTTGATACTCTTCTGAATTGCTCTAAAGGTGAGTACAAATTTTGATGATTATCTCATGCAATTGAAATAACTTGACTAGAACTGTTTAAATTCGAAACATTAATTTTTTTATTTACTGTATTTAGTTTGTGAAAGATGGAAAGTTTTGGTTCTTGAAAGGCTACGCAATGTTTCATATTTAACAGGTAAGCTACAAGTCAATGAGGAGAATAGCAATTATCACATAAACTTTAAATTTAGATGTTTACACAAAGGTAGACTATCCTGCTGGCAATACCATAATCTTTAAAGATGATTATCGATTTGAGGGAATCCAAGTATCAGAATGGTTCCCTAAACTTAAGGTTAGTCTAATCGTAAAGAAAGGTAACCATTAAAAAGATAGATCCCGATTTTTTCGATAAAAAATATAAAATATTTCTATTTTGCTCTAGATTTTAGCTATTTACAGGAATCTTGACGTAAATTTTGTCGTTAATTTAAAAGTCAAAGGACTTGTATTGACATCTTACAGCAAAAGTCAACTGGAAAATGTTACTTTCCATGATCCATCGCTTGAAATGTTAGCGATTTCGCACTTTTGTAGTTTTTTCGCCAACGAAATCCAAGGACAAATGCTGAAACAATTGTACATAACAGGCTGTAATGTTTCACATTTTGCAAGATATGCTAAATATTTTCCAAATTTGAAGAGACTTCATATTGATGAATTCGTTCGTAAGTAATATATATTTTCTTGTTTTATTTGCCTCTTTATCCTCTTTCTTATCGTAAATTTGTGTCTTACATTGTCTTGTATTGTTCATAAACAGGCGACCCTTCCGAAGACACATTTTATACTGGACCTGTTCTCGAAAAGCTAGAGATTTTAGAAATATGTTTCAACGCACAAATTGAGCCATGTGATTATTATGGATTCAGCCTTGCAGATCATTGTCCAGCTTTGAAAAGTGCCTTTCACTATATCGAAACTTATCGTGAATTTTTCGTCGACAGTGGAATCAAGAATCATTTCTTAGAAGATTTAGTTATCGACTTTGTCAGTATTTCTCATAAAAATTTAAACTCAGATTTTTACAATGTTTCGTGTTTCTCTTTCTTTCTCTTCCTGACAGAGGGAATTTCAAGATTGGTCAGTCTTAAGACGCATATTGAGCAAATATCCAAATCTGAAACATTTGGCTTTTAGAGGAGGCGCAGAAATATCTGATGAAAATATTCCCGAACTTTTACTGCTACTTCCTCGTGTTATTTTCATTGATATAAGAGACTCAGAACAAGTGACTGAAAAGTCAACTGAATATATTGATCGGTACTGTAGACATCATGATCGTTCAATTTCATTTTATTATGAAGAAAGACCCGAAATCACTAAAAAATGGCCTCATTTAACGGCTAAAGATGTTTGTATTGGTCATGGATTTGATTTCATGAAATACTGTTTCCTCAGAAATTATGATGACTTGCCACTTTTACTTGATCCTGATGAATAAAGAGCGACTCAACGGTTGATTTTGTCTTTAAATTTTCCCATAATCAGGCCATTTTCGGCTATCTAAATCTAATCACCCTTTCATTGATCAATTTATTTTTGATAATACCATGTCACAATATTGCCTGTGTATCGTTTCATGTCTATGACTTTATAAAGATATTAAATCACCAGGAAAATACAAGTAGCAAAAGCAAATACAATGTACATATGTAATACTTCTGATGTTTAACTTTTAAAACACGGATAATATTTAAAATAACAATGTGAATTTCAAAAAAAATTTTATATGGAGATTGATTATGAAGTTACAAATAAACCCATCTCCTGGAATAATCACATTCGTTCATTAATTTTTCTATGCAGTCACATTTAGGAGGGCCATGACAATACAAAAGGTCGGTGAAAACCGCTAAATCATCATTCTGCCTTCTTACTCGATGATAAGAGCTGAGTGTCCACAGATAACTAACATACGATTTTGATTTTATCGTTCGCATGAACTGAAATAAAAGGCGGAAATAGCTTCAATTAGCAAAAAAAATGTAAACAAAGTAGTTACTAACCGAAGCAGCAGCATGGTCAGAACAGGCTAAGCATTGAAAGGGGCTGGTGTCGATTCCTCGTTCTGGCCAGAAGTTCAACAATAAATAAACGACAAATGCAGCAATAATTAAAGCAAAAAAAATAATGTAAACGATCATCATTTAAACTGACATTTGTTTACAAATGATATTCAATCAGGAAAATTTGTCGATTGTATCGAGCAACAAGCGATTAACAGACGTCAAAAATTGAAGGAAAAAAGAGCTCTGTAAAGTAACTGATAGTATTGGAGGTATTATCAGTTACTTCACAGTAATAGTTATAATAGCTTTCAGAAAGTGGCAGCGCTTAGGTAAATGAAGGATTATATAAATTATAATAGCAATGTAATTTTTAAAAATACATAGATGGAGACTGTGAAAATTGCTTTAACGGTTACTTTAGCGCAATTTCATTTCATGACTGTTGCCTAAAAACGTCACCCTTTGTGAGGGATTACTATAATAACGTTCAAAAGTTGGATATAGCTGCAACACTAACAAGTAAGTTCATAGTTCATATTAAACTGTTCATCACAAAATAGTTTTTTGACATTTGGCCTTTTTACCGTTTCAAGCTGGATCTTTTTGATTTTGGTTTTCACATTGTCTTTTCAAGTTGCTATAATGAACATCGAAAAGTTGCCTGATGACTGCTTATTATATATTTTCCATCTTTTCTTTCGATTTGAGACTCTTCTGAATTGTTCTGAAGGTGAGTAACGAAATTGATAAACGGATGTATCATCTAATGCAATTGAAATAACTTGAATAGACTTGTTAGACTTTGAAAAACATTATTTTTTATTTTAATTAGTTTGTGAAAGATGGAAAAGTTTGGTTCTTGAAAGACTACGCAGTGTTAGATATTTAACAGGTAAGCTACAAGTCAATTAGATTAATAGCAATTAACACATTAATTTTCAAATTTACATTTTTTAGATTCTCAGGAAATGTTAGGCTATCCTGCTGGCAATACCATACTCTTTAAAGATAATGATCGACTTGTGGGAATCGAAGTATCAAAATGGTTTCCTAATCTTAAGGTTAGTCCAATCATAAAGAAAGATTACCATTAAAAAGGTAGATCCCGATTTTTCCGAAAAATAAATTATTTTTATTTTATTCTAGATTTTAGTTCCTCTCCGAGATCTTGATGCAAACTTCATCGCAAATTTAACAATCAAAGGACTGGAATTAACATGTTACTCAGCTTCGGAAACTTTTAAAAATGCCACTTTTCATAATCCATCACTTGAAATGCTAGCGATTTCCCGCTTCTGTAGTTTTTTCGCCAACCAGATCCAAGGACCAATACTGAAACAATTATTCTTGAGAGACTGTAATGTTTCAGATTTTGCCAGAATTGCTAAATATTTTCCGAATTTGAAGAGACTTCATATTTATAAATTCCATGGTAAGCTTGTTTTATTTGAATCTTTATTTCATAATATATCCGTTTCTTGATGCTTATTAACAGGGCGCCCTTTCAGAGACAACTTTTATACTGGTCCTGTTCTTGAAAAGCTAGAGATTTTGGAAATCTGTTTCGAGGGACAATTGGGGACAGGTGAATATCATGGATTCAGCCTTGCAGATCATTGTCCAGCTTTGAAAAGTGCCTTTCACTATATCGAAACTGATCAAGAATTTTTCGTCGACTGTGAAATCAAAAATCATTTTTTAGAAGATCTGGTTCTTGAGTTTGTTAGTATTTCTTTAAAAATTAAAAACTCAAATTTCTATAATATTTCGTGTTTCTCTTCCTGATATTTTAGGATTATGATTCTCCTGATTGGTCAGTCTTAAGATGCATATTGAGCAAGTATCCAAATTTGAAACATTTGGCTATCAGAGGCGAAACAGAAATATCTGATGAAAATATTCCTGAACTTTTAGAGCTACTTCCTCGTATTATTCTTATTGATATCAGAGAATCGGAAGAAGTAACCGAAAAGTCAGCTGAATATATTGAACAGGTCTGTAGACAGCATAATCGTTCAATTTCATTCTATTGCCAAGATGATGAAACTGAAATAACAAAGAAATGGCCTCATTCATCAAGTAAAGGTGTTATTATTGGACGAGGATTTAATTTCATGAAACACTGTTTCCTCAATCGACAAGGGTGTTTGCCCCTTTTACTTGATCCTGATGAATAAACAACGACCTTTTGTGAGAATATTGAGTCACAAAGAGAGTTGTTTCTGCGTTTTGGCATTTAATTTTTTTGTTCGTTAAAATGATAAATATTTTTGTATCAGATTTTTATTACAATTTGTCGATAACCTTCCGTCAATAGTATGATTAAAAACCATTTCCCAGAAGATTTAGTTCTTCAATTTTGTTTAAATTCCTCTTAAAAATTTAAAGCTTGGATTTTACCAGTGTTTTATTTTGCTCTTTCTGATATTACAGAGTCATATTTATCCTGATTGGAACATATTAGGGTTAATTTTGAGCAAATATCCAGATTCGGAACATTCGGCTATCAGAAACCACACAGAAATATCTGATGAATATATTACCGAACTTTTAGAACTACTTCCTCGCATGATTCTATAATTTATATCAATAATCGATTCTTATTTATCAACAAAACGTGTTTGTATTGGTCTTTTGATTTTATGAAATAATGTTTTTTCAGCAAACAGTTTGTCTTTTCAAATGTTACAATCTTGTAGTTTATGAGCACTTGTTTAGCATTTAATTTCTCATTGATTGATTTACATTATGAAAAAATAATAAAATGCAGACGTTTTGGTTGGAAGAAAGCTTGTTCAAGTATTAAGGAGTAATTTTTATTTCAAGCGAACCGAAGCATCTTAAGTTGAACGAATAAAAATTAGATTCCTTCGAAATAGAACAACATTCTAACTCGAATTATGTATTAATAGATAATATTCATTGAGTCACTAAAAACAAAATTCAACAATATTTAGTAATTTTTATAAAGTAATGAGATCGAACTGATTTTAAGATCACATGTGTAAATTAATATGATACATGAAATGGGTACCTAATGACGTTAAACATTTTCGCCTTTTGGGAGTTTCAACGGTGGCTTAGAGTTTGACATATCTTCTAGACGACTTAGAGTTATGGTTCGACGTCGAAATGTGTAAGTATTTAATTCCAATTCGCCATTAGCAGCTGAGACGACCAGTTCACGTGGTCGAACTTCACTTTGTTTTTTCCAATTTAGAGCTAAAATTAAAATACTAATCATAAGGATGGATAAACCGGCAAGTCCACTCAAAGAAGCGATGACTGAAAAATAAAATGAAATCAAATCAATGTTTGAATTTTAAATGACTGGTTCAATAATTTGAAATGTTAAGTCAATTAAAATGACAAATTATTCAACAATATATCATAGAGTTATAGTAAATTTCTTACATGAGCGTTCCCCAAAGAAAAATTTAAATATTGTGATCAAATTCAATCCTAAATTGCCAAAATTTATTGCATCAAATGGATCAGTTCTATTGTTATGTTCTTCGGTTAGAGGGTCATGGATCACTTGAGGGGCTTGGGTTGTATTAGAATTTGGTTCAAAATTTTGATGATCTGTAGTCGAAATGATTTTAGTTGATGATTCGAATGGTTCATCATTTTGGTCAGTCGTAGTTACAACAGCTTCAGTGCTATTTGTGAATTGTGTTTTTTCAGGTGATGGTTCAGCAGTTGTGGATATAATGTGATCCATAAGTGTTGACTGGAGTTCTGATGAAGAGCTTGTTACCTCTTCGAGAGGTGTTTCATTAGTTTGTGAATGAACAGTTGTTTGGGTAGAGGACAAAGAATCGAATGTTGTTGATTGATCTCTAGTTGACAGCACTTCTGTTGAATGAGTTGTACTTTCTTCAGAAATTGTATGTTCAGTTTGAGTTATCGGTGTTGAGCTTATTTCTTGATCAATTTTAATCGTAGATGTCGGTACAGCAGAGATTTTTGAATGAGTCACAAATGTTGTTAGCCTAGACGGATTAAAAGTAGGCATTTCAGGAGTAGATTGAACACAAATACAAGGCTCAGTTATGCAGCATTCCGTGGTTGTGGATGGTGGGGTTTCAGTTTGAGGCAAAACCACAGTTGTGTCCGTCTCCTGTTTAGGTGATTCATTTGGGCAGCGTTCCATTTTGATAGCGACATCATCGACTAGAACTACAGATGAATGAGTTTCTTCTGCATAAGCCAACGAAATAGTATAAAAAGATTTTCGATCAACGACTATTGTCCTTTCAAAATGGTTTCGATTCAATGACAATTCTCGATGTAAAGGAATTTTTTCTATTGGAAGTATTTCTCTAGGTTTCACCGCTTGTTTACCATCAGAAGACATTGTCTCTAACATGATCAAAAGACTACCAACATTTTGCGAATTTGTTATGGTGTAAAAATAGGTGAAACTGAAGCAGACCAATTCTTTGATATCAACAGGTCCACTTGTATAAATATTTTTCCCGATATCAGCTATCTCATCTGTTAAAGTATCCTCTATTTTAGCATTCACTTTCTGAGGCGGGTCCAAACATTTATCATTGACGAAAGTGAAGTCATCCAGAGATACAATCCAATCAGCCTGTAAACCGAGAGAGTTTTTCAAAGTAATGGAAGCAGTAAAATCTAAGCGGAACTCAGCATTAGAACTATCAATATAAACTGATGCCTTGGACCAATCGATCGATTGTTCACCTTTAATATCCCAAAGTACCATTTTTTCACCAAAGCTTTGTTCAAGAGTTAAAGTGAGCTTGCTGTCGGTTGTTGTATAGAATCGATAAGAAAATGTAAAACATCCTGATTGAGGAATGTACCATAGATTGTGCACGGAAGTAGTTAATTGTGATAATCCACTTGTTGATGCCCATTGGTCTATATCGCTTGTAGGTTTTTTCGGAATTTGAAGGTAACCTCCGTGAGCATCATCAATTTGGAAACCAGTATATGTCCAAGTAGAAATCGAATAGCCGAGTGTAAACCAAGCACAATCATTTGAATTGAAGTCACAATTCAAAGAACTACATTTTACTAGAAAGAAGAAATAAATACAAAAAGATCAATAAGTAAACAATAGCTAAAAAGATTGAGGTAAACCTCCAAAGGAGTCATATTCACAAAAGATTGAAATTAAATTTTGACTAATTTTTCCTTTATACAATTAATTGGGTCAATTTTGTGTCCAAGACAAATAATTACAATAAAACAATTATAACGAAAATTGGGAATGATAATTACGTTGGGACAATTACAATGAAATCATTGTTTGGGTAACACAAAACATTTAACAAAGTAACACCTCAAGTGGCAAAAACAATCATTTGATCTTATGTAAATCTTTGGATCCATTAAAGATTGGTATCTGTTCACTTAAGTATTTAGTTTTATTTACCTTCACTTGTCAAAATGAAAAATATTGAAACAAATTGAAAATAACTAAATTTGTTCATCTTTTCTTGAATAAATTAAATGATTTTAACTGCAATTCACAAATAATTTCAATACTTTAAAAGGAGATAAAATCAGCATTTCATATTTCAAAAATATAAATCAATTACATTGAATCGAGAACAAAACTAGGCTTAAATTCCGATTGCAACCCTATTTATTTATTAATTTATTAACCATTTCAGGTTGATTTATGATAAAATAAGAGGATCCAACAAATATTGATCAAAACAATAATTTTCAACTACATGATAACGATTGCAATTAATGAATATGACTCAATTAATTGAAAAACAAGTGATAGCACAGATGTGTGAATACTTTCACTGAATAATTCAGGATTCATTTAAATTCGTGCCTCGCTCGTTTATCAATTGTATTTACCAATATCTTTTTCAAATTTCAAATTTGCCTATCAAATTGATCAGGAAGCATGATAATAAAGGTTGTTGTTTCACAACAGAATCCAGTAAATCATTCAATTATCAAATTGATACAAATGTATAAAAGGTTGATCAAAAACACGGTTTCAATGTATTTAGGTTACGAGCCACGGCTATCCAAAAAATGACACTTTAAAGACACTTTGCAAAATTAATTGAGTCAAAAATGATATCAACAATTAAGTTAAGAATTTATTCATTTAATTCAACAAAGTAAAAGATTCAATATTTAAGTTGAATCAAAATTTGAATCAAAAGGCTCTAATCGCCATTCAATACAGACAAACATTCAAATCTAGTTTTTCATTATCTTATTGAATTAAAAATGAAATGATGGAAAGTTGTACAAAGTTTATATCAAAATGAATATTTGAATTGTTCAAAGTTCAAATGTCAATGTTTATGAAAGTTAACCTTTTAAAATCTAATCTCAAATTATTTTGCTTCCCTGGATGAATCTTTCTCAGAATTTTTACATGATTTTTTGGATGCATAATTGGTGGTGAGACGAGCAATGTAGCCAATAGGAATTAGCAGCAAGTTTCATTAAATTAGTCCTTTCTGCTCTCAATCAATTTGATTCATACTTTTTTGCGATTACAGTTATATTTTGTTACAATTGGAACCAATTCTTCGTGGAACCAAAAAGTGATTTTTCAATCACAATTTTATCTCATCTGGATCCAGACTCAGGCTGAGACATCTTATATGCTGTTTTATCAAAATATTTTTTAAATTATATTTGGAATCATCAGTTTGCTGAGGATCAAAAATTCATAACCAAATTATTAACACATTTACATATTCACCATTACATGATCATTTGTTTAATTTTAAAAGCGCTTGCTTTGTTAGTGTTTCGCATCATAAACTGAATCAACTGCAAACAAACTTTGAAAACAACTACAAATATGGCTAGCTTCATTATCCAAGCGGATATACATTAATATCAGGTTGAAATTTCAACTTGAAACCCAATCTCGACAGGTTTTAATTATAATCAGACAGTCTACAAATGGGAACATCTTACACAGCCTTTTGTAATGCAATAATCATGAATTGATCAGCTTTGATGAGTTCAATTTAAAAGTATGAAATCAAACTATTCAATGGAATTGCAATTCTTGAAAACCATAATTGCTGATGAATCGCCACACAAATTTAAAAAATCAACTTTAATAAAAAGAAAATTCTGATTTTTCAGCTTCAAGTGAGATCTACAGACTTTGATTTTACACAATACATAATAACATTTATCAAAAATATCAGAAAAACAAACGCACTTGTTTAAATGTTAGTCTATCCCATGAATTGGAAGAAAATGGGTGTTAATGGGAAATGTGCGTCAAAACAATAAACGATTTTTGATAAACTCTTCGAGTTGATATTTCAATGGAATTACATGAAGTAATGGTAATCGAAGGGTTCGTGAAAAATATAACAGAGTCGATTCTCAATGATAATTTGATGCTGATTTGTAATTTACAAGAACATTAGATAAAAGTCAATATCAAGAAAATCAAATTAATCAGGAAACTTGATTATAAGTTTTGATTCGCACCTGTTTCCATTTCAGATTTTACAATCAGGTTCAAGTCTCGATAAAATAAGAATTGATAGAAAATTAAATCCTTTTTTACAATAAAATTTAACACTTACTTTGTATGCAACTGTTTGCTTTTCAATTGACTTGCTCTAAAAATAAAATCAATCGATAAATATTGAAATCATTGATGGTCCAATGTTCAAATGTTGATGATTAATGAAAACTAATCAAATGTTTATGAACTGAAAGTTAACCCTTTTAAAAGCTATCAATTTCAAAGGATCAAATGAAACAAATCTTTTTCATCTGAATTGATGTCAATAAATATAATTGAAGATTCAATTCACAATGAAGTAGATTCATTCCTAAATTATCATTTGTCTTTTGGATTGCTTGTTTACCTTGATAGTATAACAATTAAATGTTTAAATATAATCTACCACAGAATCTACCTTTTATGGATTCAAAAAAAGGAAACAATAATTGATTGTATAATAATAACTCCAATGATCGACTTGATTCCAAACTATCAAACTACTAAGATAGTTTTACGGAAAAATATCAATGTCAAACATTTTAATAACTTGCAGTGTTTAACATATAACAATAGCGATTTTTGATTATCATTAAAAATTGGATAATTGCGAGAAATATTCAGCTAATGATTGTATGACTAACAGAGGCTATGTAAGAGCACAAACTGTTTCTCGTTTTAGTCAAAAGATTAGATCCATTTTTGATTGTAATATTGTGAGTTTGATTTTTTACCAGATTCAGATAACTTGTTCTAGTGTAAACCCGTGTTAGATAACTTTACATTAATTAACAGCAATCAGTCAAGCTGTTAACATTAAAATGGAAGTTAAAAGTGTTCTTTTGTTAATCTCAATAGCAATTTTTCAAAGTAAGTGTTTCTCAAAATCTGTCTTTGTTAGTCTTAATAAATTTGAGACGACCCCTATCTTTGAATAATCACATTAAATCCGTTAATCGTTCATCTCTTAATGTTGCTTTATTTTAAAAGTATTTTGTTACAGTTATTTTAGTGATGATTCAAGATGGTTACGGGATGACTCGACTTCAATTGCATTTGGACAGTCAAGAATTGCCAGCAAAGATGACATAAGAAAGATAAGGTCTTTAAACACCGATGGTGAAACAAATAGGCTGACAATCAGTCTGGCTGATGAAAGTAAGCAGTTTACTTTTATCCATCAGTATCCATCAGTATTTTATACTTCTAGGTATTTTTTTGTTTACAGGTCCAAATGGAAGTGGCTTTCATACTAATGGGACATCAGAGCCTGGATTCACAACAAATATATCGTCTTCAACGATTATCTCTCATGAAAAGGCATCAGATGTTAACCTCCCCGACTCTAAATTTTCTGATAATTCAACACTAAAGAAGATAGAAGAAACGAGTACGGAGGAATCAATTCTTCAACAATCATCAGTAAGCTCCACTGAAAATATTATCTCTACCTCGCCCACTTCTTACCCTTTAGAAATATCAAGTTTAACGATTGTTGATGGAAAAGAAATCGATAACAATAAAACAATGAAACAAAATGATATTGGGCAAACACCATCGATCACCACTGATGCTGTTAACGCAAATTTCAGTTTCTCATTGGATGTCGAAACTACAACTACGAAAAATTCGAAGAGTAATATAGATTCGCAGTTGAATAATACGGATTACAACATATACAATCCGAATATGGAACCTTCAGCGTTTGGATCAGAGTCTGCAAGAATTCCAAATGTAACAGAAACATCTACGAAAGTATCAGCTGAAACTTCAAATGAATCAATTACAACCAGCAAATTTGAGCTTGAATCAGATAAAGTGCAAGTACCAACAAGTTTAGATACAATGAGTAATCAAACGACCATAAGTAGCGATACTGAATCAATCTCAAACTCTGTGACTGAGAATTCTACAACAACAGTGCAATCGATTTCAAGATCAATAACTGAAAAAAATACAACAATGACTGACACTTGGCAAACAGTAGACCCAATAACTAGTGAGGTGCCTGAAAATACTACAACGGCACAACCAAATTCAATGACTGACCTAAATGAAACAGAATCTTATAATCAAACAACGGCACAACCAATTACAAACCCTGTAACCGAACAACCTTCAACACAGTCTTACAATGGAACCACAGTGGACCCGATCACAAGTACGGTGACAGAAAATATTTCAACCCAATCTTACACTCAATCAACGGTAGATCCAATCGCAAGCACGGTGACAGAAAATACTTCAACCCAATCTTACATTCAATCAACGGTGGATCCAATCGCAAGCACGATGACCGAGAATACTTCAACACAGTCTTACAGTGGAACCACAGTGGACCCGATCACAAGTACGGTGACAGAAAATATTTCAACCCAATCTTACACTCAATCAACGGTAGATCCAATCGCAAGCACGGTGACAGAAAATACTTCAACCCAATCTTACATTGGAACCACAGTGGACCCGATCGCAAGCACGATGACCGAGAATACTTCAACCCAATCTTACACTCAATCACAGTGGACCCGATCACAAGTACGGTGACAGAAAATATTTCAACCCAATCTTACACTCAATCAACGGTAGATCCAATCGCAAGCACGTGACAGAAAATACTTCAACCCAATCTTACATTCAATCAACGGTGGATCCAATCGCAAGTACGGTGACAGAAAATACTTCAACCCAATCTTACACTCAATCAACGGTGGATCCAATGGCAAGCACGATGACCGAGAATACTTCAACACAGTCTCACAGTGGAACCACAGTGGACCCGATCACAAGTACGGTGACAGAAAATATTTCAACCCAATCTTACACTCAATCAACGGTAGATCCAATCGCAAGCACGGTGACAGAAAATACTTCAACCCAATCTTACATTCAATCAACGGTGGATCCAATCGCAAGCACGATGACCGAGAATACTTCAACACAGTCTTACAGTGGAACCACAGTGGACCCGATCACAAGTACGGTGACAGAAAATATTTCAACCCAATCTTACACTCAATCAACGGTAGATCCAATCGCAAGCACGGTGACAGAAAATACTTCAACCCAATCTTACATTCAATCAACGGTGGATCCAATCGCAAGCACGATGACCGAGAATACTTCAACACAGTCTTACAGTGGAACCACAGTGGACCCGATCACAAGTACGGTGACAGAAAATATTTCAACCCAATCTTACACTCAATCAACGGTAGATCCAATCGCAAGCACGGTGACAGAAATATTTCAACCCAATCTTACACTCAATCAACGGTAGATCCAATCGCAAGCACGGTGACAGAAAATACTTCAACCCAATCTTACATTCAATCAACGGTGGATCCAATCGCAAGCACGATGACCGAGAATACTTCAACACAGTCTTACAGTGGAACCACAGTGGACCCGATCACAAGTACGGTGACAGAAAATACTTCAACCCAATCTTACACTCAATCAACGGTGGATCCAATCGCAAGCACGATGACCGAGAATACTTCAACACAGTCTTACAGTGGAACCACAGTGGACCCGATCACAAGTACGGTGACAGAAAATATTTCAACCCAATCTTACACTCAATCAACGGTAGATCCAATCGCAAGCACGGTGACAGAAAATACTTCAACCCAATCTTACATTCAATCAACGGTGGATCCAATCGCAAGCACGATGACCGAGAATACTTCAACACAGTCTTACAGTGGAACCACAGTGGACCCGATCACAAGTACGGTGACAGAAAATATTTCAACCCAATCTTACACTCAATCAACGGTAGATCCAATCGCAAGCACGGTGACAGAAAATACTTCAACACAGTCTTACAGTGGAACCACGGTAGACCCGATCACAAGTACGGTGACAGAGAATGCTACAATGACAGTGCAATCAACTACAAACTCTGTAACTGAACAGTCTTCAACGCAAGCTACGTCCGAATCTATTCAACCTGTGACCACAATTAGGCCGAGTACCAGCCAATCAATAACTGAAACCAGTTTAACTGACTTCACAACTAAAGAAACCGTCTCAACTACCGATGGTAACACTACTCCATTCACACATTCAACCTATCCAACTGAAAATGAAACAACTTCGCACATCCATCAGGTCGGTGATCATTTTCATCATTTTCATCATTTTTTTCATATTTTTAATGTTTCTTTTTTAAATAGGAATGTGACTGTCATGGCGATGACCTCTTGTTGCCTCAATGCAAAGAAATTTGCGGTAAGTGTTAAATTTCAATAATAATTGTTTTTCTTTTAAGCAATTTTTCTATTATGATAATGCTACAAGTATTGAACTTCGCATCTAATCCAAACAGCATTATCTACTAACTTGTCTGGATTTCATATCAATCTCGCCTTTTTTGGTCTCAAAATTAGAATGATTCTATCAAATAGAGATTACCGTAAGTGAAAAAAATTGATGATGATTCACTCCTTGATTGATAATAGATTACTAATTTGTGCATTTTTCGCAAAAGTTATATGTATTGGAGTTTTTTTAGGAATAACACTCGTACTGGTTGGATTTGTTGCAAGGATGATCCAAAGACGGAAAAGACGTAGAATGATTGCTCAACGAAATTTCGAGATTCTGTATCAAGATTTCGGTGTTCAAAGTGAAAAAACTAAAAAATGGTTAGCTGATTTTAATTATCAATCATCTATTTTATAAATTAATGCTGTTATAATATAAATTTATTTATTTAAAGAATATCTTTTGTAAATCTTTTGTCCTGTGTTTATTTTCGACACAACTTGCTGTTTAAGCAATTATCGTGTTTAAACTCCTAATTAATATTCCAAAAATTAAATTACAGATTAAGCTCCTTTAGTAATAAAACTCTTCGTTCAGTTTCATACAAATCTTTTGTAAAGAGAAGGTAGTTGAAACTAACAATAATTTAATCTAATTGATTCTTTTCTAATCGCATCTCCTAGTTTATGATTGAAGATAATTTCTTACCTTCAATCAGTAAAAATTGCATGCTGTGTTTTTAGAAGCTTGATCATTCTTGAAGTTTTGTAAATCGTAATAAAGTTTCAAGTCATTCCAATTTAATAAAAATTTAAAGAAAATACTAAACAATGACATTTAGCAAAATTAGAGCTCGGTTAATATCTATCTTCGATTTGGCTTCTTTTTTTGTTTCTTTTGCGCCATTCTTGGACCTTTTAAGTTAGGAGATGCTTCAACATTAGAAGCTCCTGGCTTGGGTGAGCTCTTGGAAGTTGGTTCACTGTGATTAAAAAACATGAAAGATTATTAATTTTCGTTTAAAAAGATATGTTTCGATAATAAGCAGTCGAATGTTAAATACTTACGGTTCTGCACCGCCGACAGCACCTTGGGTGCCTTTACCTACAAATTGAGTTCCTCTTTTGTCTTTCTTTTTCTTATAAGTTGATCGTTGCCACCTAGGTAACCATCTTTCAGGGTTTGGATCAACATCAGGATCGAATTTTTTAGGAAGTTGCTTTTTCTTTTTCCTCTTTTTAGTTTTCTTGATATCTTCTTTAATGTTACCCGGCGAAGGTTCAACTTTAGTGATTTTCTTTACATATTTAGCCCCTAAAGACCAATTACTAGTTTCTAATGCGTCAACATCAACACCGGCGATTTCTTGCTCTAATGGTGGCAAATATTGCATGATTCTGAAAGAGTAAATAAATTTTAAGTTATTTTGATAACTTTATCATAATTATCATAATAAAGGTTGAAACTAATGTACTTACTCTTTAGCTTTAGCTGGGTCGATTTGAGAATATGCAGAAATTAGATGAGCTAAAACTTTTGGATTATCAGGGTTATGTTTACGAAGTTCTTCAAGCAAAACGACAGCTCCCTTATGATCTTTATTTTCCATCATCAGTTTAGCTGCTTTTCGATACAGAATTATCAGTTCTGAACCTTTTGGCTATAGTAAACAAATAAAAAAAGGTTTCTTAGATAAAATTATCAAGTTTTCTGAGTTGAGTCGAGTTTTCTAACCTTATTTGTTTGGAACCAAGAGATTGCAGTCTTTAATACTTTAATAGCACCAACTTTATCTTCTAAGTTCAAATGAAGCGCGACCATGATCGATATCAATGCTAATTTCTGCTTATTTTGTAATTCAGTGACCTGGCTTAAAGCCTCTTTATGACGTCCTTCTGATAAAAGAAGTTGTATGATGATAAACGGTGCTTCTATATTATCTGGGTCATAATTTTTATATTTTCGAAGAATCTCTATAGCATCATTAACTTTTCTTTCTTTACGTAATAATGCTGCTTCCAAAACTAAAGAATCCACTGTAGCCTCTGGAAACATGGTTTTAAATTGTATGAGTTGTTTACGACAAGCATCAGATTGATTGGTCAGTAGTAGAAGAAGGCAGTTATTAAATACGATGGATCTTCTCTGTGAAACGCTAAGTTTTGGGTTGTTGATTTCATTCAAAGCTTGTTTCGTTTTCTTTCGAGAATCAAAGATGTTTTGATCTTTATTGATTGTAACAATGTTGTTGCAGGCAACAGCGATCACAAGAGGATCAGTGGGTCTGAAAAGAGCAGAAAAAATCAAATAGTTAATGCATGCAAACGAGAAATGTGTTTTAAGAAACTTACTTCAACTTCAATGCTTGGTTATACATTTTTGATGCTGAATCCAGATCTCCTAACATTTGATCAACATAACCCAACTGACCACGAATGATGGCGAGTTCGGAATCAATCTCTTCTTCAGTCCATCCTTCTCCTTCTAATGATTTTCGACAGATTTCTATGAATTTGAAAAAATGGCCAGAAACTCAAAGTTAAAAGAAGTGAGGGAAATATGAAAAATGTGGAAATTCACCTTCAGCATCATTGAGAATTTGACGAGCTCCAGGATAATTTTCTCTAGACAATTCTATGCACGCTTTGTTGTAATATATCTCGTAGAAATTTTCTCTTTCTTCAAGCTGTGGTAAGTTTTCGACAGCTTTAGGATTTTCTTGTGCTAATCCAGCAGCAACAGCTGCTAAATTAGCTTCTCTTTCATTATCGGAATCATCAGCTGATTCTTTCAATAACTCTAAATATAAATCATAGGCTTCTTGGTATTTCTCCAGTCTGTAAAGCTGAAAAACAAGAATTATAATGGATTAGAAGTAATGATGACAGTTGCATTACTACTTACTGCTTGGCATCTTAGCTCTTTTTCTCGAAAATCTGGCTCTGGATGAGAATCTAATGTCTTGAGACAATCATCGGCTTTATTCAGTCTATATTCACAATAGGCTTTTTCAAATATGCATTCCTCACTGCAAATCAAAATAAAGAAGATAAAATTAGAATATTATTGGGCAACTCCATGAAAATATAAACAAACCTGAGAGCAGGATTACGTGTGATTTCGTCGAGTGCTTCAGTAAATTGGCTTTCCTGGATGAGACAAACTACCTTGCAATGTCCTGCCTTGATATTATCTTTTTCCAAAGATAGAACTGATGAATAGAATTGGATGTGAAAGAGAAAATTAAAACATGAAATATACAGTAAATAACATACACGAGGCAGAAGAAAACATTGGTTTACATACTTTTATCTGCAACTTTCAATGCTTGTTGGTAGTTGTTGATCCTTTCATATTTGACGAAATCACTGAAAAGCGTACTTAAATTCTTTTTGTCTGGATTAGTGCTCATGATGAATAAATTATTAATTTACCAGAATCATTAAGAAACAGGATAGAGCAAAACAGAAAATATCACAAACCCTGGAATAATTGTTTATATTTCAAGAAAACCATCGGTTCGTGTTGAAATAAATGCCAACATAACTGGGGATCGTTATGTAAGTGAAAACTGTAAACTGAAACTCCGCCCAGAAAAAAATAAACAGGATTAAATCCAAAAAGTAAACACACTTTGATCCGATCACATTTATTACCGTTTAGATCTCACCTGCAATTCGCAGGCTTCAAGCTTTGTTTACAAAATTTAAGTTAATTAAGAAATATCCAACTTTAAAATGGCGTTTACTAAATTAGTAAACTTTGTGTATATTGTAATTCATTTTGTAGCAATTGTGCTGTTTCTTTATGGATATTTCTCACTTTCTGACAACCAGAATCTTGACAACCTCAATCAATATGACAACATGATCGCTGTGAAGCCAATTGTAAGTCATTGTGAATTATATAAAAAGGAGCCAATGTTTAAAAAGTTGGTATTCGTTCTGATTGACGCGTTAAGAGCTGATTTCATTTCTGTACAATCAATGCCATTTGTTTCGGAACTTTTAAACAACAACACTGCCATAAGATTTACAAGCACAGCTGCAACACCAACTGTGACAATGCCTCGATTGAAAGCTTTATTAGCCGGCATCAGACCCAACTTCCTCGATATCATTAGGAATTTAAACGCTGGTAGTTTCAATGAAGACAATTTCATTAGTAAAGCTAAAGAAGCTGGTCGAAGAATTATATTCTATGGTGATGATACATGGATGAAGATGTTCTCGAAAGAAACGTTTATCAAGTTCAATTTAACTTATTCATTTTTTGCAACGGACTATACTGAAGTGGACACCAATGTAACAGATAATATGAGACCTGAACTTAATCAGCTCGAACAATGGGATTTTATGATCCTTCACTACCTTGGATTGGATCATATTGGTCACAGTTTTGGTGCAAAATCACATTTATTGCCTCAAAAACTTCATGAAATGGACTATGTAATTGAATCAATTTATGAAAAGGTTTCAGCGCAAAATGAACCATATCTGATTTTAGTTACTGGTGATCATGGCATGACTGATGATGGTAATCATGGTGGATCATCTAGTCCTGAAATTAATACAGGATTATTGTTCATTCATACAGGTTTATTGTCAAAAATGACCTGGGCCAATAATGTACTACAAAGTGTACAACAAGTAGATATTACTGCCACCATCTCGCTTCTCTTTGGGCTTTCGATTCCAATTAAAAGTCATGGTAAACTAATTACACCTCTAATGAAACATTGGTCTGTACCATTGGATCAAACAACATGTTATCTATTTGAAAATAGCATGCAAATGAAAAATTTGATGAAATTTAGCGATGCCACTGTCAACATTTTATCAAAAGCAGTTGAGGGTCATTCGGAATATATCTCTAGTGTCAACAAAACATCTACCGTGTTGAAGTCTGTTGAAAAAAATTACGAAGAATTTTTACAAAATGCTCAAAAGGAAGTAATTATAAATCAAGAATACACCTCTTCAATTGGTCTCTTTATCCAAGTTATCGCCATATTAATGTGTTTTTTCAGCGCCATTAAAATTTTGGAGAATGAATATAAAGAAGTCAATTCTGTGATATTCAATGGCAACTTGAATGAACCTTTACAAGTTTTCATGCTATTTGCTATTGGCGCGCGAATAGTACTTCTTGGATCTACTAGTTTTGTTGAAATGGAACCTTTTTTCTGGTCATTTTTATCATCAACAATCGTGATACTTAGTGCGTTAAATTTTTTTCTAGTCCAACGTACCGTTCCAAGTTTATTCAATTTCATGTCATTGCCTTTTGACTATGCAGTTGGAATTATTGGACACATCTCTGCAATCATACTAATTCGAATAGTATCTTCATGGCAAACTGTGTATACGCCATTTCTAAGTGATTTATTTAATTTGAAATCGAATCGAAGATTGACAACTTCTTTAATGATAATTTTTTTAACCATAATTTCATTTTTTTCGAGTGCAAGCCGATTCAGCAAACAGCAATGCATCTTAATTTCAGGACTGTTTTGGATCTATCTTTACAGGTAAATTTCATCTAAAAATAGAGAAAGACTAACAGACTAAATAATTTTGACTAACATCTTTTATTTTTTTTACTTTAGGTGTGACACAAATTTTTTAACAACGTATCGATTGCCATTTTTCAATCTGATTCCTCCATTGTCATCTTTATTCAAAGCTCGATTGATCTATCTGCACATATTGCTTTTATTGATGGAAAATTTTTTCAAAAGGCGAAATATCGACTTTGATTGTAACTTGATTGATGGATTGATACCTAAAAGAACTAGACGAAATAATGAACTAACGCCTAGCATTCTTAGAACCTTTACCGTTTGCTGGATTTTACTTATTTGCCTACTTTCGAAACTAGTCAATATACCTCTAATAGCTATTTCCATTGGATTGGAAAAAATTATCTATTCAATCACTAAGTGGAGTCTCAAAAATGATTTCTCTCATCTTATTTATTTCGTATCTACTTACTTGACTTTTGGTTATACTTTTTATTATAGCCAAGGTAACTCTAATGATATTTCTACTATTGATGTAGCTTCTGGTTACATAGGATTAGATGATTATATGCCATTATTTACTAGTATTTTAATTGTTTCAAATACCTATTCTCAACTGATTTTTTGGCTTCTCATGATGTTTGTGAGAATTACTGAAGTAAAATCTAACCTTCTGGCTTTCAGAGTTACGAAAGCAATCACAGGTACATTTAGTTTTTTAATTACCTCACAATTTCTCACTGTTGGATATTTCATGATAGTGGCGTTGATTCTTCGTAACCATCTCTTCATTTGGACCGTGGTTAGCCCTAAATTATTATATGAAACTTTCCAATCTTTCCTAATCTTCATGGTTGCAGTCATGGTAACAATTTGTACACAACTTGGTAGATGAAAGAACCAGAATTGGAAGGTGTTTTTTTATTTAGTCATAATCACCGATGGATAAATCCATACCTAATGTCAATATAAATACCAAAAATTAAAACATTGATTCTGTTATATAATTCTTTTTAATACTGAATAAATAACATTAAAAATCTTGATTAACAAATAAAAAAAATTCAATTGGCTTCACACAATAGACACCATGAAATCAAATTACAACAAGTTGAAACAAAAAAAGAGAATGAGGAATGGAAAGATGAATTCACCGAATTCACTGGTCTTTTTTCATTTTTTGACTAGTTGCTCGGTAGATAATTGAGTCTCGACCAGGATCCATGTTCCACATTCCAACTGATACTCCTAAAATAATCAAAGCCATGGCAATTGCAGTGAACGCAATCATGGCGAAAGCCTGATGGAAATCAGTTGCATATTCATAAGCCAAATTCAGCATAGGTTTTTCATCTGTAGCCTTTAAAGATAAGAATACGTAAAATATTAATGATATTTCATTTAAAATCAAAACAAATGAGTTACTTACCATTTCTAGTTGATATTTGAATACGAAAATTCGATGGTATCAACTAATATAAGATCAGATTGTTAATTGTGCACCAAACAGTTGAATATAAACAAGATTTGTTCTTGAAAAGTCAAATCCTTGTCAGTAAAGTCTAACTCTTGCCAAAGAGCATGCTCGTACATTAAATAGAGCTGCAGAGCGGTAAAAACAATTTTCAAAACTCAAAATCAATTTTGAGATTGATAAAATATCAATTTTAGCTACTATAAATTCAAACTCGGTTGAATACTATGAAAAAGCCTGTCAATAAATTAAAAGAAAGATAATGATATTGTTTTAATCGAGCAGCATTTAACATTAGGCCCAGAATCATAAAATCTACCGGCTGAGCGAATAGCTGCAAGAAGCTATTCACGCTTATTCAATTATCTGATTTTTTTCATTGCTTGGTTCATAAATAAATGTTCATCAGTAAACAGTTCTATGACATTCGGCCTTTTTATAATTTAAAGTTGTATCTTTTTGATTTTGCTTTTCACATTGTCTTTTCAACTTAAAATGAATATCGATAAATTGCCGGATGACTGCTTATTATATATATTCAATCTTTTTAATAGATTTGAGACTCTTCTGAATTGTGCTGAAGGTAAATATAATGAGTTGCCTATTCTACTCGATCCTGATGAATAAACGACGATCTTCTGAGAGAGTATTGAGTCCCCTAGTAAATCATTTTTGTGTTTTTGTATTATACAATGTATATCGAAATCATCGAGACAATTTTGTGGTGATTCGCCAAAATTCAGCAAACTGTAGACCAAAGAAAGTGTCCGATAACTAAAGTTCACTAATTTAATCTAGTTTACTTGTTTTTCAAAAATTAATTTAAACATTTGGCCCTATCTATCTCTTGAAATGACTTGTTCAGAATCGAAACACTTATGCAATATCGAGGTTTTTTTCCAGAGTTCATTTTCTTACAACGTTTGACTATTTATCATCGAGATTAGTTTATCTGTTGATAAATTAAATCTCTTAATAAGGAAATTAAGAAGTTCAGTTTCGCGCTTGTTTCATATGAGGATACTCGTACATTAAATAGAGCTGCAGAGCGGTAAAAATAATTTAAAAACAATTATAGCAATTAGAAAAGCCGATTGAATAACTATGAAAAAGACTATGACTTTTTTCAATGAAAATCGATGATCATCGATAATCTATGTTTAGTGAAAAAGTTCCAGGAAAAGTTTAAAGTAGTGAAAAAAATTCAAAATGACCTTGAATAGCATGGCAAAAGGGGCTTTAGAGAACATCGATGTTTGCTCATGGTAATCGATGATCGCTGGCTGCAGCGATAATTATCGATTTTATCGATAAAATCGCCCAGCACTAGGATAAGCCGTGTAAACTATTTCATATCCACTAAACAATGCTTTGATATTTGGACCTTTTATCATTTCAAGTTGTATCTATTTTATTTAAGTTCTGATATTGTCTTTACAAGTTGTTGAAATGAATATCGATAAATTACCCGATGACTGCTTATTTCTTATTTTCAATCTTTTAAATAACTTTGAGACTCTTATGAATTGTGCTTCAGGTAAATATAGCTTTCATCTTGATTGAAATAAATAAATGTATTATACTTTTATTAACATTGTCTTTGATCTATCAACAGTCTGTGAAAGATGGAAACATTTGGTTTTCAAAAGATTAAAAACTGTTAAATACTTGACAAGTGAGTTGAAACTTTAATATTTGAACCCAACATTTGTTATTAACCATAAAGATAGTAATGTAACCCTTTCTTCAATAAAGATTCATTGGAAAGGGATCGTTATCCTGCCGGTACGATATACTTTAGTGAAGACGATCGACTAGAGCAAATAGGAACATCAAAATGGTTTCCTAAACTAAAGGTTGGTTTATTGCATGAGGAACAATTTAAACAAGAAATGGACTGATTTTTGGTTGATTAATTTATTTTGAAGATTCTAGACTTATGTGAATGGCATTACCTGGATTTAATTTCTAATTTGCCAGTCAAAGGATTACAATTGCTTTCATATTATGGATATTTGGATAATATCACATTGGATATTCCATCCGTTGAAATGATAGCAGCTCAAGACTTTTATAATTCCTTTGCAAATGCTAAACAAGGCCCGAAGATAGAGCAATTATACATTTTACATTGCAATGTATCCAGGTTTTCCAGGCATGCTAAATATTTTCCGAACTTGAAGCGACTTCATATTGAAGACGTACGCACTTGTAAGTTTTATCTTATTCTTGTTTTATTAGATTCTCAATTGATTCTTATCTACTTGTTTATGAAACAGATGCCCCTTTTGTTGACAAATGTTATACTGGACCAGTTCTTGAAAAGCTAGAGATTTTGGAAATATCTTTATTCGCTGAATATGCAGAATTTTTTAACAAAAAATATTATGGATTCAGCCTTGCAGACCATTGTCCAGCCTTGAAAAGTGCCTTTCATGTTATTCAATCTCGTGAGCCTTTCGTCAATAGTGAGATTAAAAATTATGTTTTAGAAGATTTAGTTCTTTTATTTGTAAGTATTTCTTTTAAATATTTACAACTCAGATTTTCACAATGCTTAATATTTCTCTTCTTGACATTACAGGGATGTGATTGGTCTATCTTAAGATGTATTTTAAGCAAGTATCCAAATCTGAAACATTTGGCTATCAGAGGAGGCACATACATATCTGATGAAAATATTCCTGAACTTTTAAAGCTACTTCCTCGTTTAACTCTTATCGATGTCAGAGACTCACAAGAAGTGACTGAAAAGTCAGCTGATTATATTGACTGGTACTGTCAACGTCGTAATCGTTCAATTTCATTCTATTATCGGCACAACGGAACTGAAATAACAAAGGAATGGCCTAATTCATTAACTAAACACGTCCGTATTGGTCGAGGGCTTGATTTCATGAAATGGTGTTTTTTCAGAGACTTTGATGATATGCCTTTTTTGCTTGATCCTGATGAATGAAGAATAGTTCAACGGATGGGTTTGAGATTTTATTTGTGCTTTTCTCATGTCGATGATCAGCCCATCTTTGGTTATCATAACCTCATCATTAAAGACCTTGCATTGATCTGTAAAATAAATTTATGTTTGACAAAAGCCATGTCGAAGCATTGCCTGTGTGATCTTTGTCTTTATAAAGGTTCATCATCAGGATGCGTTGAAGACAAATAGTAGTTAACCGTCATAATCGTAAAAGTATAATTCTTATTGACATCAGAAACTCGGATTAGAAATTCTAAGTTATTAAAAACCACTTTATTGAAATTGGTCGCCAACCCTTGGTCAACACTGAAATTAAAAATCATTGTTTAGAAGATTTGGTTCTTAAATTTGTTAGTATTTCTTTTAAAATTTTAAAGCTCAGATTTTTACAGTGTTTCATATTTCTCTTGTTGATATTACAGACATGTTTTTACCCTGATTGGTCAGCTATAAGACCTATTTTGAGCAAATATCCAAATTTGAAACATTTGGGTATTCATGGCAGAAGGATAGGCATCATTGATGAAAATATTCCTGAACTTTTAAAGCTACTTCCTCGTATTAGACTCATTGATATTAGAATCTCGTAAAAAGTCTCAGTCTTCTCAAAAAGTAACCGAAAAGTCGACTCAATACATATTGATTGGTACTGTAGACAGCATAGTCGTTCAATTTCATTTTTTTACCAAAGAAGACCTAAAGTAACAAAGAAATGGCCTCATTTATCAACCAAACATATTTGTATTGGTCGTGGATTTGATTTCATGAAATACTGTTTTCTCAAAGATCATGAAAATTTACCTTATTTACTTGATCCTAATGAATAAAATGAATGAACAATCATGCAGTTCATGAGTGCTTAAATTCAGACGTCTTGGTTGGAAGAAAGCTTGTTCAAGTATGAAGAAGTATTTTTATCCCAAGCGAACCAAAGCATCTTAAGTCGAATAAAATTCGATACCCTCGAAATGAAACAAAATTCGAACTTTAATTATGTATTATTAGATAATATTCATTGAGTCACTTAAGACAGAATTCAAAAATATTTAGTAATTTTTATAAAGGAATGAGATTTAACTGGAGTTTTAAGATCACATGTGTGCGTGATTGTGATACATGAAATTGGTACTCAATGACGTTAAACATTATCGCCTTATGAGTTTTAATGGTGACACAGAGTTTAACATATGTGAAACAAAATGTATAGCTCAATAAATAGCAGAAAGAAGCTATTCACTTATTCAGATTATCTGATATTTCATATTATTTCATTGCCTGAGTCATAATAAACTGTTCATCATTTAACAATCCTTTGACATTCGGCCTTTATATCATTTCAACTTGTATCTTTTTTATTTTGGTTTTCACATTATCTTTTCAAGTTGCTGAAATGAATATCGATAAATTGCCTGATGACTGCTTATTATTTATTTTACTATCGATTGAAAATATAGCTTTGAAAAGTGCCTTACATTATATTCAAACTGACCAAGAATTCTTCGTCAACAGTGAAATCGAAAACCATTTCTTAGAAGACTTAGTTATCGAATTTGTTGATATTTCTTTTATAAAAATTGAAGCTCGAATTTCGAAAATGTTTTGTTTAACATTACAGGAGAAAGGTCAAGATTGGTCAGTTTTAAGATGCATATTGAGCAAATATCCAAATTCGAAACATTTGATTTTATGAAATACTGTTTTCTCAGAAAATATAATGAGTTGCCTATTCTACTCGATCCTGATGAATAAACAACGATCTTCTGAGAGATTATTGAGTCCCTAGTAAATCATTTTTGTTTTTGTCTTATGTATCGAAATCATCGAGACAGTTTTGGTGATTCGCCAAAATTAAGAAAACCGTAGACCAAGAAAGTGTCCGATAACTAATGTTCACTAATCTAATCTAGTTTGCTTGTTTGTCAAAAATTAATTTCAGCATATTGTCTATCTCTTGAAGTGACTTGTTCATAATCGAAGCACTTATGCAGTATCGACCATGTTTTTCCCCAAGTTCATTGAGTTCATTTTCTTACAAATCTTGATCTTATATATCATCATGATTTGTTTATCTGTTGATAAATTCAAATTTCTTTCAAATTTGTTAGTAATATCTCAGGAACCATTGAGTTTACAGAAAACCCCCTTCACCTTGCCCCTCTATCTAATTACACCTGACTCATTCAAATTGGTTTTAGGCTACTCATGGGGTTCCCTTGTTACTAAAAAGTTGTTAGTACAGAAAGTTAAGAAGCTCATTTTCGCGCTTGTTTCGTATGAGCATGCTCGTACATTAAATAGAGCTGCAGAGCGGGTAAAATAATTTACAAAATTCAAGACCAATTTTAGCAATTATAAAATTAAAACCCGATTGAATAACTATGAAAAAGAGTGTCGATGCATAAACAGAAGATGATGTAATTGTTTTCAGTAAGTCGCACATTTTAGAGGCGCGATTCAAGATCATAAAATTTACCAGCTGGGCGCATAGCAGGGATAGCTATGTAAACGATTCTAAATCCACTAAACAGTTCTTTGCAGTTTTGTTGTTTTTATAATTTCAAGTTGAATCTTTTTGATTTTAGTTTTCACATTGTATTTTCAAGTTGCTAAAATGAATATCGATGAATTGCCTGATGACTGTTTATTACTTATTTTCAATCTTTTCAATAACTTTGAGACTCTTCTGAATTGTTCTGAAGGTAAGTATAGCTTTCATCTTAATTAAAATGAGTATTTGTTTATTAGGTAACAGTCTAGTTATACGGACACAAAACAATAACAAAGGCGTTAATTGAGGCCCCAGGCCATCCAAGCCCAACCTAACCTAACCTAACCTAGTCCGACCTAGAGCGCGATAATAAACGATTATTTATTTGAATCTATAGCACTGTTTATTATATGTGTCCGTATAACTAGACTCTCACCGTTTATTATAATTTAAAATGCTATAATTGTCTTTAATCTATCAACAGTCTGTAAAAGATGGGAAAATTTGGTTTTAAAAAGATTACACAGTGTTAAATACTTGACAAGTGAGTTAAAACTTTAATATGAACACAACATTTGTTATTAACCAATAAAGATGGCACTAATAAACTCCTTTCTTCAATAAAGATTCATCGGAAAGAGATGCTTATCCTGCTAATTATACTATGTTCTTTAAAGAAGACGACCCACTAGAGAAGTATAGAATATCAATATTGCTTCCTAGACTCAGGGTGAGTTTATTGCACGAGAAACATTGTAAATCAAGACAAAGGATTGGTTTTAGTAGATTTTATTTTAAAGATTCTAGATATAGCTGGACGCTTTAAATTGAAACCATGGGCGGTTTTTCCAGCCAAAGGATTGCAATTTAATTCATGGGATGAATATTTGGAAGACTTCACATTCTATATTCCTGGCATTGAAATGATAGCAGCTTCTCATTGTTATAATTTTTTTGCAAATGATGTACAAGGACCGAAGCTAACGCAATTATTCATTTCACATTGCGATGTTTCTCAGTTTGCCAGTATTGCTAAATATTTTCCGAACTTGAAGCGACTTCATATTGAAGACTTAAATACTTGTAAGTTTTATTCTTTTCTTGTTTTATTAGATACTCTATATCTTCGTATCTTCATTTGTATTACAGGCTACCCTGACGAAGACAAATGTTATACTGGACCTGTTCTTGAAAAGCTAGAGATTTTGGAAGTATCTATATGCGTAGAATGGGGAGATGTCAATAGATATTATGGACTCAGCCTTGCAGATCATTGTCCAGCCTTGAAAAGTGCCTATCATGTTATTCCTGTTGATGAACCTTACGTCAATAGTGAGATTGAAAATCATGATTTAGAAGATTTAGTTCTGTTGCTTGTTAGTATTTCTTTTTAAAATTTAAGACTCAGATTTTAACAGTGTTTTATTTTTCTCTTGACATTACAGGGATGTGATTGGTCAACCTTAAGACGTATTTTGAGCAAATATCCAAATTTGAAACATTTGGCTATCAGAGGAGGCACATTAATAACTGATGAGAATATTCCTGAACTTTTAAAGATACTCCCTTGTATTATACTTATTGACGTCAGAGACTCGGGCAGCGTAACCGAAAAGTCAACTGAATATATTCATTGGTACTGTGAACACCATAATCGTTCAATTTCACTCTATTACAAAGATGACGAAACTGAAATAAAAAAGAAATGGCCTAATTTATCAACACAACGTGTTCATATTGGTCGTGGATTTGATTTCATGAAATACTGTTTTCCTCTCAAACATCATGAAAATTTACCTTATTTACTTGATCCTGATGAATAAAATAAATGAACAATTGCAGTTCATGAACGCTTGATTGTGAAAAAATAATTACATGCAGACGTTTTGGTTGGAAGAAAGCTTGTTCAAGTATTTTTTATCTCAAGCGAACCAAAGCATCTTAAATTGAATAAAATTCGATACCCTCGAAATGGAATTAAATTTAGATTTTATTTGTGATTTTCTCATGCCCATGATCTTTGGTTATCATAATCTCATCACTAAAGGCCTTGCATTGATCTGTAAAATAAATTTATGTTTGACAAAAGCCATGTCAAAGTATCGCCTGTGTGATATTTTTTCTCTGTAAGATTCTTCATCATGATGCGTGGTGACCAATAGTAGTTTAATCGTTACAATCGTAATAGTATAATTCTTATTGACATCAGAAACTCGGATTAGAAATTCTAAGTTATTACTAATCCAAAGTTAGAATTTAATTCAAGAATCAAATTAAACAAGTAACGAGGAATCGTTGACATCGTTGAAGATGATTTCGCTTTCTTGAATTATTGATTTCCTCTCGTGAAATATGAGTTAAAAAACTGATAATATTAGAACATTGGTGCAGCTTTTTGGTAAAAGACACTTCAATTAATCGGAAAAAGAGTCAATTCATTTGTATAATTTATTTGGTATGGAAATGATTAGGTCAACAATCACACTTTTGAGCTATAAATTGATGAGCAAATCAACGTCAATTATTTTTTTATTAAAAATCTTATTTTATTAGATTTTGTTTTGAATTTAATGATTTTCAAATACTGTTTTTTCCAATTTGAAATCAATCCAAATATTAGAAAAATATTTCCTCAAAATTCGGATGGAATTTTTTTCAGCTTAAGAAATCAAAGTTTTCCTTGTCAAGCGATTCCAAACTCAGATCAAATGATTCTTCACTCTTATAATAATGACGTTTGCGACTCATATGATATGGCTTTTCTCTGGTTCCAAAAATGAGTAACGATAGTTTTGATATTGTTCCAAACCGTTTCTTGGGACTCTGTAAATGAAATTGAAAAATGAAAAATTGAGAGAAAAGCGTTATTCTTGTAATAAAATTGATATTATTTTTGTCATAAAAAATAAGAAGATGCTTTGTAAGCCAACTCGATATAAAGGTAAATTCAAAATTAAACCGAAAAAGCCAATGTAATTTGTTAATTAGATATTCAAATCTATATATCGCATGATTGGTAAATGTAACGAGAAAACTCAACCCTTTCATCTGTCTATTGAACTATATTGAGATATTAAAATTCTGTGTCTGTAAAATATTTACATTATCTCGAATTTCCAAAGTCCAATAGCCATAAGGTCTTTCTGCCCAAAAATGAACGGATGTAAAAAGCCAGTTTTGGAAACCTTCTGATGATTTATCTCGTTTTCGTGAGTCCAAAAGAGTTGAACTTGTATCTATTGAATGATAAAGGTTGTCATAATGTTGGGATAATAAAGTTAGTAAAGGGTAAGCGATGGACTTAGTTTCGAATATGATATGGCTTACTTGAAGGTGAAACCAATTCGATTTCGAGTGCACCCCTCAATGGATAGTCGATAGTGGCCATCAACTGAACGTGTTCGACATAATTGACCTCACCAATTGAGCCACGACAGCCACTGACATTAAAAGCAACTCGTAATTTTGATTCACTGCTTATTTTAAGAGGGTCCCTGTAAAAAAGCAGAAGGTAAAAATTAAAATACAAGATAAATGATAAATTTACAACTGATTACCTCAGTAGGAGACCAACGTTACAAAATCTTTGTGGTGGTACTGATGGCCATGCTTTAGCCCATCGGGTCATTAAATCTGCGTCCAAAAGACCAAACCCAAATCGTTCATTGAACAAAAGATCAGCACCATTACGTTTCCATCCTGGGTTATTTTTCAGAGGAAGAACTTGTGATGTCCATACAACTAAATGTTGAACATCACGCCAATTAAGGTTGGGACTATAGAGAAGAGTGGTCAATCAATTTTGTATCTTCCATTATTTAAAAGTTTAACATTAAAAAATGAAAAATAAAACCAACTTAAACAATAAATGATAATATTTTTCATCATTCATGAGAATAATTGTTTCACTCACTTTGCTTCTAAAACTAAGGCTATTATTCCGGCAGCAATTGGTGCGGCAGCTGAAGTTCCAGTATGATCATTGGTGCAAGAATTGCCAATATCTGTTGTGGCTACTTTACCTTCATTTTTACCACCACTTGAATAAGTAACGGCTATTGTTGACGCACAACGCTCTCCATACCAAGGAAAAGATCTAAAAAATGATCACTAGTTCAGTACACTGATCTAAGGCAAAAAACTTCCAATAATCCAGTTTGACAGAATAAGATTGAAATTTACCCATTTTGAGAAGCACTTCCAATTGACAAAGTATAGATTGAACTAGCATATCCATCACAATTACAGTTATCATCATTATTGCCTCCATTACCAGAAGCCCAAACATAAATTGAGCCTCGGCCTCGTCTTCCATAGGTGACTCCACGAAGTAAAGCTTCCTGAGCTAATCTTTTAGGTCCTTCAACTGTTTCACCGTTATCAGCTGGACCCCAAGAAGCACTGTAGATATCAACGATTTGATGCTTATAGGCTAGGCTTCTACCCTCAATAGCGTCAGTGATAGCTCCATCGAGTAACTTAATACCTAGAAAGAGAAACGGAAAGAAATTTTCATCATGGACTAGCCAAGAACAACCATGGTCAAGATTGGCAAAAATTTACACAGTTACTTACCCGCAACACGAGCATTAAAAGCAATTCCTACGCCACAAAGAAAGTTATTTGCACTCATGGCAACCTCACCGGCACACCTTGTCCCATGGCTATTATCACTACCAGGTCGTGGACTTGGGTCAAAATCATCATCATTGAAATCATAACTAGCAATTGGATTCTGTGAGATCAAAAGAAAAACAATGACCAAGAAGATAAAATTGAGAGACAAAGGACTAATTGATATCACTTACGAAATTAGATTTTAGATCACTATGAGTATGTTCAAGTCCTTTGATTTGATGGGATTGTCAGAAAAAATGAATTTTTAAATATTAGAATTAAATAAATGATAAAACAAAACTTAAAAAAATCATAACAAGGATCAAACAAACCGTCATCAAGAATGGCAACTGTGATTCCTTTACCAGTAAACCCATGTGACCAAGCTTCCATAATTTTGTGACTTCTTGTTAAACTATTCATCTCATTGGTGATGTACCATTGATTCATAAACAATTTATCATTAAACCTTAAGGCAGCCTTCTTAATAAGATTATTAGTATCTGGAATCGGACGAGCGGTCTCTGCTCCACCCGTCTCGCCCGTCAATAGCATTGGCTCCATTTGCCGGATCCCCAGAATTTTTTCATCGAGTGAATTGGCTGACAAATGATTAACCTTGTAATGATTGTTTAAAGGTAAACTCGATGGTTCGCTCAAATAGCCACGTTTATGTCTAAAGAATGGTATTTGTGGCTCGGTAAATTCAACTCCTACATCAGCCGCTAAATCTTTGATTATATCAAGACTTCGAGTGTATTTATTTGCCACAGGAATCAGAAGAGAGTAAGTATTTTCAAAGCTAGGAACCTGAAAATAAATGATTGGTAAACACAATGATTTTTGTTTTTCATTTTCACAATTAACTTACCTCTCGAACCTCAATTGGTCCATATTTACGTGCAATATGTTCAACATACTGAATACCTCTATAAGATCTTACGATAATTTCCTGGACATTGTTTAGGTATGGATCCAATTCGTTGTACTCTGGTCTACATTCAATGGTTAGAATTAGTGTTAATAAATAAGAAATCCTTTTGATTAACATTTCACGTTAATTGTTTGGAAACTGATTAACTTGGAATGGAGAAGTAAATTTTTCCAAGAAATCTTCAAGATTCTAAATGATAGAAAAGACTTAGCTTCAAATCATTTTGCGAAAACAATATCAAATGATTGTTCACAATCGAAGCGATGTTAAGAAATGAGAATCTAAAATAGTGTTTTCATGAAAAACTATCCTCTTTGCTCGGTAAAAATTAATGCTAACCGGAAGATATTAAACAATTAAAACGAAAAATTGGCAGAGATTTGATTTTTAAGAACAGCTATTAATATCAACAACAATTTAATAACTCTTTTAACCTTTTTAGATGCTTGATTGGAAATAAACGCAAGTGGTGAAACTGTTGAAATGGTTGTCATTTACGACATTATTAACATTTCAAGTTCAATACAAAGAAAATTACGATTTTCATTGATTAATTTGTTGTTTATTGATTGTGTAAAGCAGAAAACGATTGATAATTAAGAGTTCGTGTAGCAAAATATATATTACAATTTTAATACCGATATCGATATATGTTTTTGATATTTAGCAAGAAGATTAGGCTTGTTTAAGGTGATCAACCAGTGATTAAAGTTAAACAAGTAATGTACACCTATTGATCTCTTATTTCATGAGGCAATGTAAGGTGACGGTCTAGGGCCCGAGGCACCTCGTTTGATAGTAGCAAAATGATCTTTTGAGCCAAGAGATGAGCGAGTATCGATTCCACTTGCAGTTGAATAAGGTTCCGAGTATTGATGGTGAGTTGTGTAACTCCTTTCAGTTCCCAAATGATTGCTGGTTGAATAGCCAGAAACAATTGATCCAGCCTTCATTGCATTGTCAATGTTCATACATTTGGTTGACATATTCAGTCGAGAACCAGGCTTTTGATTGGATAAATCAGATAGAGATAAAGAATTGCTTGCTTTTCCATCATCTTCTGAAAGAGAAAAATATGTTCACATTAGATAGTTAATACATGCTACTATTATTTTTAGTGTTTTTACCAACCTGAGTAATGATTATAAATTGGATGTGGTTGTCGATTGACACAATAAAAAGCAAGAAGAAGAAGGAAAATAATAATTGCTAAAGAGAGACTGATTGGAACGATGAAAGAAATGTTCCGATATAAAGGCACTTCCTCGTAGGCACCAGTTAATTCATTATTCCTACTTTTAGCCGATGAATAAGAGCTTCTAGATGATGACTGAGATATTGTTGAATCATGACTCGGTATGGTTATTGGGTATTCAGATTGAGTTACACCAGCATCATTTTTAGCAATGACCAGAATGATATAAGTCATTCCGGGGACAAAATGATGAAGTCCAATCTCTTTTTTAGAACCTTTCATCGTCAACTTTTCATGAACAGGAATCCAGATATTTGTATGCTTCGGACGTTTCTTTATATCAAAATAATGGATCGGGCATCCACCATTATTCCATAATCCTAAATTGAGAATAACTTCAGTTTTATTGGTCCAAATGACTGATGATAATCTGGTTGGTGAAATCGGAGCTGAAAATTACAGGTAAGATTAAAAAATATAAATAAGTGTTTGGTAAGAATTTGATAAAACGTTTTGTTTTGATTAATTTGTTACTTACCGGCACCTTTGGTTCGAGCAGAAACTTTCTGACTTGGTTCGCCAGTTCCAAGACTATTTGTAGCTGTCATGAATAATGAATACTTTGTTCCACATGATAAATCTTTGAGCACATAACTTCGTAATTCTGGTTCTAATTTGATATGATTATTATGGGAATTTTTATTCTCTTCTTTAAAGTAGAGATTGTATTCTCGTATAATTGATTTGTCTTTCGGATCTCGCTCCCAAACTATCTCAATTGAATCATTAGTTGTACCAACAACTGTTATTGAAGGTGATATTGGTGGTGAAGTTTCAAGAGTAACACCAACAACAGGGTCAGACAAAGGACCTGAGCCTGCTTGATTATATGCTTGTACAACAACCCAATAACGAGTTAAAGGCCTCAAATTGGTTAGATAAGTGGTAAAGGAAGGTGAATTCCGTTCTTCTTCCATATTGACTACATGATGTTTGAACTGATATCGATCATTGGCTGATTCAGTCTTATATCCAACATAATAAGCTAAAATAGGTCCATGTTGAAGTTCAGGTGAAACTGGAGTCCAAGTTACTTTCAGAGATTGTGATCCAGTGGCTGAAACTTTGATTGATTGTGGAGGGCCTTCAGGAGCTAAAATAAACAATAAAAGGAAACCATCAGTACATTGATTTCAACCAAAAAGACGCCTATTTGTTATAACAAACCTTCTTGACGAGTAGTTACATTAACTGGATCACTGTGATCACTTTGCCCAACAGCATTTTCACAATAAACACGAAATGTGTAAGTAATCAATGGAAGAAGATTAGATATTAAAGTTGACGAAACTGCTCCATCCACAGTCACTTTGTAATTGTCATAAGAAATCTGGTTATTATTGGAGCCGACATCAAGCTGATCTACTGGCTCATAAACAATATGACATTGTTTGATTATTGAATTACCATCAAAAGGTAGCTTCCAATGTAACTCAATGGTTCGACTTGTTAGATTACCAGGCTCCAGGTTAATTGGCTTTCCAGGTCTCTCTGTGTAAATATTTACAAAATAAAAAACAAAAATTTAATTAAAAAGGAAAAAACTGTTGTCATGAGCAAGACTCGCTAAAAATTAACCCTTAAAATCAAGACAATTCATCGTTGTTCAATAAAGTTAAGCCCAAAAAGGCTTTTTGAAAAAAAATTCTCGGCAATGACAAGTTAACCTCCGTTATAGCTTGTTACAAGTTAAACTCATTTACAAGCGATCTTACAGCAATTTAAAACATGTAAATTGTGTTGCGAGAAGAAAAGTTAATAGCTAAAGATGCAAGCGAATCTATTAAATAGTCAAATAGGTAAATAAATGGATAAGTTAAACATCAACAACTAATGTTGATAGTGATTCTGATGATGATGGTGATGGTGATATGAAAGTTGAGACAAATTTGTTATTTCAGAGCAGCCTGCCTTTAAAAGCCGTTAAATTTTGTACAGAGTTTTAAATTTTTTCACAATCAAAAGTTATTGTTATAGAGGAAAGTTGAGATGAAGATGAATGATGAAGAAAGGACATAAAAATAGGAAGATGAAGTTATAAAAAGGCAAGAAAAAAGGATGAAAACGACAAGAAAAGCCTTTAAATGGTAGCTTAAAGATGTTTATGGAGCAAAAGAAGAGGTAAAATCAACTAACTTTCATCAGTCTTTCTCATCTTTAACTTTCACTTTTTTCATCTTTACTTTTTCATTCAGTTATAAGCTATCGAGTCTCCAATTGTTTTGTTAACAAACCAATGGTCAAAGAAAGAAGCTGAAAGATGAACAAGAAAAGTCTTTTCATTTGACCTTTTCTGGCCTTTTTTAGATAACGGTCTGAGTAGTCAATGAAGATAAAGATGATTATGATGATGATAGGAAAAGAGAAGAGGACAAAAGAAGAAAAGATAAAAGTCTAAGGCCAAATTCAATTATCGACAAATTCTGGACTTTCATTTGATTCTCATGCAATCTTGCGATTCTTTCTGTTTTCACTTGTTTTTACAGTTGATGAAAACAATGAAGACAAGAAGATAAGGTGAAAGGGCCAAATATTGATGATATTGAAGATAAAGAGGCAAAAAAAAGTAAACATTGTCAATATTGGGTAAAATATTTACTATCAACTTTGACACAACAAAACCAAAACATGTTGTTCAATGTTTCTATCGATCACAGTTGATTCTTAATCGACAATTTCAATCGATTAATTGAATGATAATTCAACATTTGAAGCAACAAAATTACAAATAATGAAAGCATCAATGATCAAGGAAACCAAGTAAACATGAAAAGAGCAGAGACTATGGTTAAAACAGAGAAACAACATTGAAAGGTTAATGAGGTAAAATGAGTTTATCTTATTGTTCAACATGAATTATATTTTAAGTTATCTGAAAATTGAATTTACTCCAGGAAAAAGGATGAGACATAAAAGGACTTGAAAGATGTTGAAGAGAGTGAAGATGAAGATGATGAAAGTGACCATTTTCAGTTTTTTTGTTTTTCTTTCATTCACTTGATAATCCTATTTGCTTTTGGGTAAAGCACGTTACTTCAACTTGGACTGCTTTTGTAATGATAATGTTCATCATGTTGATCAACATTTCATGAGTTTATCATTCTAAAATTTAGGTTCACTGAGAATGAAAAAATAATGCGCTTTTACTCGCTCATCTATCAATACCATGTACTGTCCATAAATTAATCAGTAACTTTCCAATTTCAATTCAATTTAGCCTTTGATTTAAATTGATTTTTACCATTTACCAGATTAAATCTTGAAATTTATTTCAATCGAGTAAACTGAATGCAAACAATAATTATAAATGTTTTCACTAATATTGATTTTTCCCATAATGTTTGGATTTGGAGAAATCAATTGAAGAAAAGGCGAAATGTCTTAATTTGATTGTGATTAATGCAATGAAATACCTGAAAAAATAAAACAAATCTTGATTAAATAATAATACTGATGGAAGTAACAAATTAATTAATTTGCACTAAATACGAATCTTATAGCTGAAGCAATAACAATTAGATTTTTGAATTTTGTTGCTCTGTTCATTAAAAGTAATTTCAAGTGAAATGTTTTTTTTGGGGTTCAAAAGATAGATTAGACGGACAATAACAAGGGTTTACCTGTCAAGAAATAAAGTTAATAGTGATTAATTGAAAGGTAGGAATGATTATTGAGATGCATTGTTAAACTAATTAGCTTCATCATCAGGTGATAGCTTCCATTAGAAACATTGTCGATGATGGAGAAGAAGAAGAAGAAGATGAAGAGTGGAAAGACAAGGATGGGATTAATGGAGGAAGGGAAGGAAAAGGGATGAGAATAATGATATTTAACATTCTTCTATTGAGAATAATGAATGACATGAGAAGATGGAAGACAAATGATGAACCAGGCAAGAGTATGTTTACTTGGATTGGTCTTTAGTCTGCTTCTTGTCTATGGATATAATATATCATGTTGGCAAAGGTTAATCTGGAAAAGGTGACTTGAAGAGGAAAAAGATGGATGCTAAATGATTATGATGAAGATGGTGATGAGGGTGATGACCGACATTGTATCTTCCTTTCCTTTGAGGAATGGATGATAAATGATAATAAAGATTGGTTTATGAAACGTTGTTCAATGTTACATTTCATTTTCATTTCTTTCACCATCACCACCATCAAAGTAATGATAATAATATAAATCTGTGTTTGCTGAAAGAAGAAAATGAAATCTCTGTAGACTCTTTTATCCTATCACCATCGCCATCAGAATCATCATCTTCATTCTCATTATCCTCATCATCAAGTAGTAGTATAATATCTTAAAGGGCGGTTCATGAGTAGGGCGACAAATCTTATAAACGTTTTAATTTTTAAACTACTCAATTTTTAAGAATCTTATTTATCATATCGGACTAAGCACACTCTGAGGTTTCTTTTGATACAACACTTTCATTTTTTTGACCCAAAATATGGCGAAAAAACGAACTGAAAATGAATACTTATACAAACGTGTTTGCCAAACTTTTGTTAAAAGTGAAAAAAATCGTAAAGTTACAGTGGCCCATTTCGTTTCTGAAGGGTTTAATAGGCAATCAATTTATAAAATGATAGCTCGATATGAATCTACAGGATGTGAGGAATATAATCGTATACCAGGCGGACCGACAAATGTACTAACAGAGAGTAAGTTACGTAAAATTTCAAATATTCTTGAAAAAAATCCAACAATTTCTGATCGGCTCGGTGCTAATCAAGTCAAAATTTCTCGAAGTTCTTACATGAGAGGCAAGGCTAGTTTAGGGTTCAAATCATACTGTCGTGTCAAGTCACCAAAATATATTAAAAACCAAGCTGAAAGATGTAAGAAAGGTGCAAGAATGTTGTATAATCGAATGTTGCGCGATAAAATAATAATTATGGATGATGAGACGTATGTCCCAATAGATCCTCAAGATGTTCCAGGGAAAAAATATTATAGTGCTAGAGATAGAAGTTCAGTTCCTGATGAATACAGGTTGACTGAGAAATCGAAATTTGTTAAAAAATATTTGATCTGGCAAGCTATCGACAGTTTAGGGAACGTTTCTGAACCGTTCGTTACCGATAAAACTATGGATAAAAAATTATATCTGACTGTTATACAAGATTATTTATTGCCTTTCATAGAGAAACATCATTCCTTTGAGAATGTATTATTTTGGCCAGATTTAGCCACATGCCATTACGCTAAAGACGTTCAAAAATTTCTTACAGACTCGAAATTGCCGTTTGTTGACAAAAATGAAAACACTCCAAATTTACCTCAGGCGCGTCCAATTGAGAAGTTTTGGGCATTATGTAAGTCCCACTATGCTAAACGATCGACTATACCACATAGAATGTGTGACTTCAAAAAAATCTGGAAAAATATTGCTCAAAAAGTAGCAAATGAGTCTGGCAAGAGCTTAATGGATGGCCTCAAAAGAAAGTTACGTAAAGTCGCTAGAGAAGCATCAAAATAATGATAATAATATAAATCTGTGTTTGCTGAAAGAAGAAAATGAAATCTCTGTAGACTCTTTTATCCTATCACCATCGCCATCAGAATCATCATCTTCATTCTCATTATCCTCATCATCAAGTAGTAGTATAATATCTTAATATGAGTCTAATTTTACACTAGTGATTTGATTGTTGTTTAAGAGTAAATAGATGTTTCATGAGGATGATGATGATGATTATATCTTTATCTTTAAATGTTGCTTCTTTCATTCATTTCAATTATTGTTGCACCAGATTGTCCAAGGTTGACTGCCATTAAATTTGATTAACCTGTTGGTCAATGTTTATAATTAACCCTCATAAATAAGAGTTAATCTTGTTTACATAGGAACCATTTAACATTTTTATTTCTGGTGTCCCTCCATCAGTACGAATAGTAGACTGGAAAACAAAAGTATGAAAGAAACGTTTACTCAACAAATAATTAAGGTAAACAATTTGTACAATTTGTAATTGTAATTAAATGTTATCAAATTTTTGATGGATATAAATTTTAATCAGTTTACAGTTAGAGGCTTGAATAGAAATGAAAAAAAATGGTAAACTCACTTGGCCATGATGAACTGTTACATTAGGAGAAAGCAGAGTTTAAAAGAAGAGGAAAGTCTAACGTAATGTAACAGAATTAGTTCTGAAATCATTTCAGATTGATTTTTACTTTCCAAGAGAAACTATCATGTCTTGGGGAAGAGAAACATGAAGATGGAAAATTGAGAAGGAACAAAAAGTATAATAATAAACGTTGCAACAAATTGAAACAGTTTTTAAGTAAAGAACCAGAATTCACAAAAAGCACTTTAAGATTGCGGAAAAAATGACGATGAAAACAAGCAAGAAAAGGGATGATAAAGATAAAAGGGAAGACAGTGTGATAAAGATGATAACGATGTTGTTGATGGTGATGATGGCGATGATAGAAGATTGAAATAAAGTCAACTATAAAGTACAACTGACGGAAAAAGGGAATCAAATATATTGATGAAATTTCAATTTCATCTTTCAAGCTTGTTATGATGAAAAATTTCCTCCTACCCATTAGTGTTCAAACCATTGATACTTATCACCATCTTTATCAGCATTGAAATTACAATTTGTCAATGAAAAAGTATTAAAATGAAAAAATATGCAAAATAAAAGATTGTAAAAGACGAGAGACCGAAATGCTTCTGATGAGAATCTTTGTCTTCCTTTTTTTCGGGTTAAATTCAAGATGAAGAGTCTTGGGCTTTGTAGCTAAAAATACTTACCAATTACAGTTAGTCTGATCGAAACTGAAGCATAACCATAATCATTATGTCCTACACACGAATAAACATCTTCGTCTGTCCTTTCAACTGAATTTATTGATAATATTGATATGATGCCATCAACGTCTTTCATTTTGGTCGTGTTCATTGAATATTTGCTATTCGATTATAAAAAGAGTACAAAGTAGAAAGTTAATTGTTGAGTAATTCTGATAGTAAATTACAATTTACCTATTTGGTTCATTAGATTTTATTTTTTCTATTGATCTGGTCCATTCCATAGTAATGGGTAAATCCCCATAACCAACACAGCGAATTGAAATCTCGTTTCCTCTTTTTACTTCAATTGAACTTGTTTCTGCTGTAATTTTTGGTGGTCCTGGAAATAGATTGAATGCAAAACAGAAGTCAATAATATGATTTCTAGATGAATTGTTAATGTCAACAATTAATACTCACGATTAACTTTAAAATTAACAATTTTACTAAGTCCATCACCGATGCCATTATTTGCGTTACACATAAACTGAGTCTCATCTTCATCACTTATCCTGTCAATTAACAATGAACCATTCTCAAGGGTTTTTAATCGACCATCTCTTACAGCAATGAATCTATCTGAAGAACCTGATAAACATAATTGAAAAAATGAGTTGTTGATATTTTGTCTATAATAAGACAATCTTTAAACTTACTTGATCTTGTAAGCCAAGTTATGTTAGGCTTAGGATAGCCATCAGCATCACAATTGATTATTAATCTTTTGGATAAAGTACCATTAATATTATTAGCAGGCTCAATCCTCCACTTAGGCTTGGCTGTAATAAAAACAATTTAGGTTGAAAATTTTCAATCCATTAACCACACTTAAACTTTTGGCCATTTCATTTTTCATCACAATTTTTCACATAAGATTATATCACACACCAACCAAAGCAAAGAGTAATAGCGCCATCGCGTTCTGATCCTTTTCCCTATCCTTATCTCTTGTTAATTTTTTGCTATTTTTTATTAATTTCAAATTGTTTTAATTATTTTTTAAATTCTTATGTTTCAATGTAACGGTATTTGAATACTCAGTGAGTCCGTTAGTCTCGTCAATAGTCTGATTTTTTTGTTTTTTGTGTACAAAATTGAAAGTTTTAACATTAAGATGGATTAACAGATTTATTAATTATGGATTTTATCATCAACGCCATCTTGTGAAAAAAGGGTTAATTAAAAATGCCAAAGGCTGACTTTGTCTTTCTTCAAAACACTAAATTTTCCCACTGAATTTTTAAATTAACAGGAGCTCGATGTTTTCAAATTATTAATATTTAACAGTTCAAGGAATCATCTCAGTAATTTTTTAAGTTTAATGTGACATTAATTCAATATCTAATCATCAACTGGATAATCATTGTATCCGAATTTATTTTTAAATTGATCTAAAGCTTAAGCTATACAGGCTTAGCATTAATTTGTGAAGAGCCAAAGGTAAGCTATTGTATTTATTACAATATTTTTTTAATTAATACTGAGATCTAAACTAATCTTGACCTAGACATGAAGCTTATTTATACATCTGTATGCATGTAAAAACGTGAAAACGCTTTTGCTATCTTGGCCCATCACTGAAATTTTGATTGTGCTTAGTCAAAAGTATTTACAATAGAAAAATTTAATGCCCTAAAAAAGTCAATATTGGACTATTTCCACAAATAGTCAGATTAACATGAGAATTCAAGTTCCGGAGAAATTCATGATTCAAGTCAGGTTTATATAAAGTTTATTCGCAAATCGCGATTATAGTTGATCGCGACTGGACTTCTTCGTTTCTTTCTATTAACTCTTAATCTAACTCTTTCATCATCTTTAACTATCTATAGCTATAACAACTTGGACCAAACTTTCATTGCTGTTCAAAGGCCATCAGTTTAAATACAGTACAGTAAGTCTTGTAACTTTATCTTAATCTTTAAATGGTGAGTTGAACAATAAAGTTGTTGATTTTATTTCATGATATTATCATGAAGGAATTGTTTTTTTCACACAATTTTCAACTTACATTGAACAATTAGACGAGTTTTACGTGAATCTGATCCATATTTATTGGTTGCTTGACAGGTGTAATCTCCTTTATCTGAGACATGGACTGACTTGAACAGAATGGAAGATGAATGGTTTGACCTTTCAATCAAATAATTGTTATCATTTGGTGGTAATGTATCACTTTTGGTCAATCGTTGGTCATCTTTAAACCATGTAAAATGTATTTCGGGATCACCCTTGTTGATGAAACATATAATGTTCACTTTAGTTCCTTCCTCTACTAATCTGGAAGCTGGTAAGAAGACTTCATCAATTGTTGGTGAAGCTTTAAAATAGGATGGAGATAAAAAATTGTCATTAGAAGGTTAAAGAACGGACATTTCAGAGAATCGGGCTGATCTTAATTAACACGATCGAGGAACCAATCTGACGTTTTTGGACAAGTGAAGGAAAGAAAAGTTGCGATTGATATCATCATTGGACATTATATCTTTTTCCAATTCTAATCATCAATTGGTCATTTCTCAGCGGATTAACATACAATAATGAAGATAATGACGATAAGAAGGAAGGAAAAGAGGAACAAAGATCAAAAAGTGTGATCACTGATCATCTAACGTGACGAGAATTGTAAATCAATGTTGAAATTAAAGTTGATTACGGAATTATCTTCATCTCCCATGGAAATTGACTTAAAATAAACAGATAATATAATGGTTTCAATTGAGCTATAAAAATCTATTGATCAAGTTACATTGAGAATATCATTTTCAAATGTTTATCCTGAATACAAAACAGTCAATACTCGTAATCAAGTGAATAGATACAAAATGAAACATTCAAATCAAACATTCACTGTTTATCAAACAAATAACAACTAGTTTTAAATATTGAAATCATTTTATTAACTGAAATGTTTTCCCGAGTTTACAAATTACACTTAAAGCTTAATGAGAATCATTAGCTTCATTATTTCAAAAAAAACTGATTAATTCAAAACAACTTGAACAATCCTAATGAAGTTCATCAATATAAAGCTTGATCAAAGCTGAAGTCTGATGCTTCCAAATCGTACGCAATTTTTGTCGATTTAAGTCAAGTCTCTAGATAACTTCGCGCTGAATTTGATATCCCAGTGAATTGATGAACTTGGACATTCAACTTTAGCTTTATCACAACAAATGTTATTACGATTGGACGATCTTGACTAAAAATTGATGTTTCATTTTATTGTGAACAATCCATTCGATCTTTGATCCAACCTTTCAGATGAGTTTGAGTTTAATCTCATTTTGTTATTTTGTTTAACTTTCAGTTTTAACCTTACAGATTAATGATGAAAAGCTTGATCCAAACCTGTCTTAGGTCAAAGGATTTACTGTTGAGTTGTTCATTTTTTAGGCTCATAAATATTCTGTTGGGTAAAAAAGAGATCCGCTAATGTTGCTTTTTTGGGGATTTTTTTCACTTTTATTCACATAGAAAAGTAATGATTGGAAAAAAGCGATTATCATTATCGTCATCTATTGACACATTATTTGATCACAAAAAGTGTTAACATTAAGATGGATTAGCAGATATATTAATGATGGACTAATGTTGAAATGTGAAAAAAGGCTTTTACTGGTTCTAGAGTTGGACTGTGATGAATAAGTGAAAGACTCATGGATCCAATGAATAACACAACAGAATTTATCTGAATAAACCTGAATAGACTTTTCATGTTAACTTAAAGCTAATCCATCATTGAATCTGTCATCTAGTTTACCCAACATTTCATCATTTTAACCTCATCATCTTTCCCTTTTATCATCATCATCATCACCAGCATGATCAATGTTACAGCAAACAAACAACATTAAACCTCGAAACATGATAATCATCAATAAACTGGACACAATTAAACCTCAAAAATCAGCTTAAACCAACAAAATCATTATCCGATTGCGGATTGATAGTTGAAATGATATCTTTAGGTGAACTTTTAAATTCAGATTCCAATCAATTTTCAAGAGTTTACCCAAGATTAACAAACAGAATATAAAAAAACAAATCGGATTCTAGTTGATGTCAAATGTTCAGAAGTGTATTAAGGCCAATGAAGTTACTTGGGTTTTAGATTTGTTCAGTCGACCAACAAAATCGCAACTTTCCTTCTGAATCAACTTGATATGATATACTGTTACGATAACAGATAATCAAGATCTTTGATGTTTTCAATCTATAATCAAATGAATTCTGATTTTGTTTTGTAATGAATTTTAGTTGATAGAAAGTTGTTGAACTTACCTCCAACATTTAGATAAACATAACCAAAGGCAGTTGAATTGCTGATTCCAAACACAGTACACTTATAAGAACCCGAATCTTCCGGAATTAAATTTTTAATCGCTAAATAGCCTTTAAGTGTATCAACACTTCGTCGATGATCAGTTATGATTTGCTGATTACCTGAAAATGGAAGGAAAAGTAATAAGAATAAGAATAAAGGTGTACATGAAAAAGAAAATCAGAAATTCTTTCAAATAAATCCATTCAAAGCTATTAAATTGCAAATTTCAGGTCGATTGTTGAGCATTTGAATTAAAGGAAGATTGAAAATAATGTTTATTCTGAATATTGGCTGATATGGAGTTCAATAAGATACTGTCAATCATTTAATTGAACATTTTGTTTGTAATATCATGAAAACTTTTCTCTTCATGAAATTTCATGTCTCGAGTGAGGAAAGAATGGAAACCTCAGAAAATAATGATAATATTGTGTTCAATTGAATTTCATGTTCCACATCACAAGATATTACAACAATCAGTGTCAATGTTACATGGAAAAGTGAGTTTAAAAGAAAAATTCAGTTGAAATGGAAGCCAGAAAAAGGAAGAAATTCATTTTTCTCATTTCTGATAAAAAGGTAAATTCACATGGAAAAAGATCACAAAGAAAAGAACTGAATTCAAGTTTCATCTTTCAACATTACCATGGAAGTTGAATTTGATAGGGTGACAAGAATTAAATAAGATTAGACAAGAAAAGGTGATTTTCATGATTAACTGAGCATCGTCCATCATTTACTTATCCATTGATCCAAAAAATTATTCTAATCTGTGACACTATTTTCCCTTGTAAAATGATCGATTTATAATTTCAATATCAACAATCAAATTATTTTGCAATCGAAAACTGGACATTAAATTCACTACAAAATAAAGTTCTAATTGCAAATCTTTCCTTGTTGAAATCACGGAAAAGAATGAAAGCTATCAGAAGAATTCATTAGCCAAGTTTCGAGAAATGTTCAAAATTGACTTTCAAGCTCCACTGAAGCTGATAGATCTCAAATTGGGACTCACAGGCGGCGATTATCCCAAATATATCTCAATAACGCATTTATTTCAATGGGATCTCTATTGATAGATTTAAAAATATTATTTTAAGATCGCATGTCACTTCGATCTTTCAGTTCAAAGTTTAATTGTTTTCCAAAAGTCCCGCTTCTAACTTCTTGTAACCCTGTAAAATGCTTATTCATCATGAATAAAATTTCTTCAAAAAATTCAACAATAAGATTACTTTAATTTTTCGATAAAATTTAATTCAATTTTGGTCAATGAACTATTATTGTAAAAGCTCATTTGTATAACCATCAAAAGATTATTGAACTAAACATTAAACAGAAAATAATGAAAACGAAAATTGAATGACACAACTTAGGTAAATTCTTGAATAATTGTATTCATCTGAAAAGTAAATAAAAATAGTTTATCCATTATCGAAAATTGAACTGAGTTAATCAATAATTCAATGTTAAAATACAATGAAAAACAACGTCAACATTTACCGATCCATTTCAAGGTGTGGTTCAAGCACAAGATAATAAACGAAATTGAATTTCTTGCAATCGAATCAATTTGATTAACTTTAATGTAAAATGCATTTTGGTTATCAAAATTTTTCCATTTACTTTTTGTTATTTTCACTAAATGAAGAGAGAAAAAATTCAATTGAAAGCATCAAAAATGACAATAAGATGATAAAGCAGAGGAAAATGTTAATAATGATGGACAGAGAAAAAATGGACAACTAAATCCGAATAGGTCAATGGGATAAAAGTCAAGTCACACTTGGGTCAAAAGAATCAAAAAGATGATTCAATATTGTTTCCTTTTCTTTGTCACATTTTTTCTTGCCTTTCATCTTCACACTCATTTTTTCCATTGAAGACAATTTGGTGACCATTTTCATCATCATCTTCCCAGTCACTCAATAAGAATGAAGATTCCAAGAGTGAACCGAAAGAGAGAAGAGAAAAAAAGTGAAAAGTAAAGTCATACGAATCATTATGAAGCATGAAAGAGACCAAGAAATATATATATAAATATAACATTCACAGGGAGTGAAAATATTGTTTTTATTGTCACTTTAACTCAAAACTTTCTGATACAACATTTTTCTTGTCTAAAGTCATTTATCTTTCCTGCTGACCATTGGCTTTATCCATTGAACAGTCACACTTTTTTTCTGTTGCCCAAAAATTGTTATATTAATCAACCTGACTCGAGTTTCCATATAGTCCAGTGTTAACCTGAACATAACCATGAACAGAATCTTTAAACAGAATTCATCTGTCTCAATGAGTATATTCATCATTCTCATCATTCATGTGAAACAATATTCCTTGTTATTCACCTTAATCTTAACTTTACTTTTCATCTCAATTCTCATCAGAATTTCAATCTTTTTGCTTTTCACCTTTTAATCAAAATTTATTGCCAATTCCTTCTCATTAATGTCGATAAATCTGTTTACGAATTTAATCATGAAAAATGTTCATCTCTTTTGTTTTCCTTCAAAATTAATAAACTCATCATTTTTCGCTTTTCAGGATCAACTTGACTTTTATCATGATGAATGAAAAACTATTCACAAATTCAATAACTAACTTGATAACTTTTCTGTTTATCTTTTTCCATGTAATTCAATTTGATTCTTATCAAGTTATCAACAGTTGATATTTTGTTGATTCATCATTTCTAATCTAATAACAAATGGAAACTGAACATTGAACAATATGTTAACAGTAATAATTGTTTCCCAAACAAAAGGTCACTTTTTGGACACTTTTCCTCTTCTCTTTTGTTTCGCCAATAATTCGCATGTTTTACCATTTCAATTCATTTTTATTATTCTCATGTGATTTACTGATTTGTTAACCTTTTCTTGGTTTGTTCAGCCTCTTCCTTGTCTTATAACAGATTTGATTGAAAGTTTTGCTTCTTTGACTAACAAAAATGTAATAATCAAATGGCAATAATATTAAGCATGATAATAGCAGTAATAATAGATTTTGATATAAGAATAAGAAAACAGAATATTTTCTTCTGAAAACATTTCTTTTTCATTTTCTCTGTTTCTGACTGAAAACCATGCATTTATTTCTTTCAAATGATACCTAACATTTGATAACTTTTTCCATGTTTTCCGTTGAAACACATGAGAATTGAAATGCTGTTAAGGTTTTATTTTTTCATATTTATACTTATACTTATTTATGACAAAAGTTGTATTTACGCAAAAAGCAACTCAACACTATTATTCATAATAAAAATTGAATACAATTTTTCATGTTTTCAGCTTTGAATCTTCGAGAAATGCAATTTTTTGAAAAATCTCAGTTTGCTAAAATTTTATTTATCAATAGCAGATGAATTCAAATTTTGAAAAATTGATTTCAGAACAAAAAGACGTTCGATTAATCGTTGCTTATCGATGGAATTTATTGATAATGAAATCGGTGACAACTATGATTCATGAAGTCTATCATGGAGACTCGAAGAATTAGAAACTTAAAATAAAATAGTGAACTTCGTGAGTTTAAGATGAAATGCTTGTAACTGCAAAATAGAAGCTTGATAAACATCAAATCCAAGAAAAGCTGAGTTTCGAGAAACTCGAGTTAATAAGTTTGACATATTTTTGAAGTTAAAGAAAACTGAATCACAAAGAAATTGATATTTCATTCATGATTAGAGTTATTCAGAAGCAACTAATAGCTTAACCAGTTCGGAGAATTGAAACAGTCGAGATTTTCGAGATTATTAAAATGAAACTTTGAGTTAGAAGATGAATCAATGTTAATGATATAATCTGATATAAGTTATTTTTGGTGCAAATGCTTCGCCTTCATTTCAATGCGTTCACGTTGATAACATGAAAATAGAAATCATATCATTGCATACTTTTGCCATAACTTTAGATCGTAGATTAAGATGCACATGCAAACTCGTTCTGCATTTTAGTCCAAATGTTGACCTTAAAAGTATTATCGTTATTGAGGTAAATGAAGAGGCATGAAACTCCGTCTGTTTTTGCACTCCTAATGACGTAAGGATTTCAAAAAATATCTTCTCAAGTGTTCTATGTGATAAGATCCCAAAACTAATCAAAATAATCTGAAAGAATCTGCATTTTGGATAGATTCTGAAATCGATGATCAAAGCCAAGTTTTCGATATCAGTTTCGTGAAATCAGTTATTTAATAATACTTAATCTAAAATATCCTAATCTTTACATGAAAGTTCTTGCATTTTATATTCATTTCTCAATGTTCTGCATCTCAATAGCCTCACTCAGAGTATTTCAGATTGCAAATCCAAGCAATTTTCCAGATAATCTCATAATTTAAGTTAATGCATTGAAATGTTACAAACTTACTGAGAAACAGAAGCTCAAATAACAGAATTTTGTTTGAATAAAGAAATGAAATAAAATAAGAGAAGAGAAAAAAGTGTCAAAGAAAATGTTGCAAAGTTCAACACCATGTTGATCAGTAAAATTCCCTGAAGAGAGAAACTTTTATTTCTATTATAACATGAGCATACCAATTATTATATCAAATGACATTGTAAAGTGAACAGCAAATATATTGAATAACAAAAAAAGTAAAAAACTATCGAAAGAAAAAAAAGCATAAAATTTTCGTTCGCTAAACCAATTGCTATTGAATATGAGAGTTTCTGAAGTAAACATTGTTCACAACTTGAAAGTGACCATTAAATCACTTGAATAATCGTTTATCCAAATTGCTTGAAAGGTCCATTTTTCCAATCGAATTGACTAACAAATTCTAAACAATTGATAGAACTCATTTGGAAATAAAATGCAAAACTCAATTCGAGCAAAGGGAAAATTCAAATGAAACATTTGGCAAACGATTGAACCAATGAATTTTTAGTCCGATATCACGATTAACACAAACCATTGCATTTAAACATGATATTTATGGAACAATGTTGATGAGTGTAAATTATTCACAACGGAATGTTGAACATTTTTCATTTCGACTTTTGTTTGCATTTGTTGAAAGAAAACAAAACTCTTTTCTCGAAGAAACTTTATCCTCTTTTTAAGCGTTACTTTTGCATTTGGAGTGACAAAATGTTTCAAGATTTATTTTTATTATGTTAAAAAGCAAATGTTTAGAAACAATGGAAAAGAGAGAAAAAGAAAACTCGAGGAAATGGGGATAAAATTCAGAGTTTGAGTCTTGCAAAATCGGAATATGATCGGTCTAATGGAATACAATGATGCATATGAAAAGATGGAAATGAGGTAACAGAAAACTCTTTTATCTTTTTTGTTGTTCTCTTCTTATCATGATTCCATTTCTGTTTTGCATTTATTCAATAGAATAGCTTCTCTTCAAAGATGAGTAAAAAATCGAGACAACATGGAGAAACAACAGGGAGGCAAACATGAATAACTTAGAAGAAGGAAAATGTTGAAAATGTAAAAAGTGAAAAATATTCAACTTATTATCTGAAGGTTGAAAGGTTTCAATAATTATCAGGTGAAACGCCAGAATTTGGATGTAAATTGAAAAGTTGAATTGTTGATCAACGGATAAGTTGATAAATTGCAAGGTTTGCAACAATTAATCGAGATTACAATGAATGAGGAAAAGCTATTGAAATGCATTTGGAGCAACAAAAAGGTTGTCAACATTTATCATTGCCATTCATGGTTTAACTGGTAAAAGTGGCTTCGATTTTGTAAATTGACCTTTTATGTCGAACTTTTTTGCCCCAATTTTTGTCTTCATTCAATAGGTGAGGTTGAATGTGAACAGTTAATGGGATTAAACTAGCCGTGTGATAAGTAAATTATGATCAAGTTGATGGTTCTGATGATGATCAAGATTAGATGCTCTTTTACACTTCTTTGTGTTGCTTTACTTTTTTGCTGGTTAAACACAAAGGAAAAGGGTTTTTAAACATTGAAACATTGTTCTCACATCGCTTGTAATGTCATTAATTATCTTGCAAAATAATTAGATGAGAAAATTGTTGTAAGATAATTTATCATTCCTCAAAAGACTAAATATTAATATAAACCTTTTCATTCGTTTCAATCGACGCTTTTGTTGTTCAATTTATAATCAAATATAATTGACCTTTAATGCACTTTTACACCAAATTCAACTCTTCATTTTATCCTCATTGGCATTTTTCATGTAAAAACAATTTACGTCAAAATTTGGTGATCGCTCAAAAGACAATTTAGTTTTGCAAATTTCAAGTTTGTCAAATGAAACTTCATTGCTCTGTTTAAACAAACTAAAAGTGCTTTCACTCTTTGCAGATATAAGAATGAAATTTTCTGATTTCTTTATTCATATTAATGGGTAGGTTGGTCAAAATAGCAAAAGCAAGATGCGAAATAAGCGAAAGACAGAATTGCAAATCAACTTACAAGATTGTGTCTAATGAAAGGTTTAACACGAAAATTGGTTAAACTGAAGTATTAAATCTAACTTTGGCTTTGAATTGCAGAGTTGAGACTTGATAAGTTGCTAAAAATGGCTTTCTTTGTTAATAGAATCACGCTCTAAGTTAAAACTTCTTCTCTTTTTGCAGTTATGGGTACATCGAAAATGTGTCCCAATCGAGATTGAACCAGAGGAAAAGAAGCCAGTAAAGTGAAAAACCGACGAGCTCATTCTAGTAGCCCAGCCATCAATAAGTATAAAAGGTCAACTAAAACCTGCATGGGAATTTTTCGTAAAGTTTTATGACATGTCACATTGGTACTGTCAATTAATCTCTGAGTTACAGTTAGACGTATTCCATACATCCATGTTTTGCATACATTGTCGTAAGAATGACATAGACGAGCCATCTCTTATTGCTATGCATACTTTAGTTTCATGGATTAAAAGTCTAACGTAAGCTTTTCTCAAAATTGTATTGAAATTGGATTTGTTTGCCTTCTGTCTTTTCGCTTATTTGCTTTTATTTACACAAATTGATTTTGCATTTTGGCTTTTGCTGTTTTGGACCAAAACTCTTAGGTTTATAAAAGAAACTCACCCTTTTCCCAAGAAATTGAATGAATTGGATAACCACCATAACGGCATTCTAATGTTATATTTGATCCTTCTGGACCTAAGACCATGGAATCATGGACTATCGGATTTCCATGAACATTAAGACGAGCCGAGTGACTAACTCGAGCCAAGTCATTTTGAAATATACACGAATAAAGGCCTGAATTGTTTAAATCGATTGAAGTGAGGTTTAAAGTCAATGTAACCTCGGATGGGAATCGACGGACTTGTGGTTTACCAAAGGAAACATCAGTTTCAGCATCAATTGGTTTACCATTGAATAACCAGTAAGCCGATTGTGGTAAAGGTGAACCAGAGGCTGAACATGAAATGATGACATTGCTTCCAGGATTAACCAGGATATCGTCAAAGGTTGAAGTTAAGAAAAGACCAGATTCTATCGAATGAGAAAAGATGACAAAATAAAGTTGAAAATTGCAATAAAAGTAATGAGTGAATGTTCGAAAAGAAAAAAAAACTATTAACATTTTTTTCCTTTTCGCTTTTCTTTTCGTCAAATGTTGAAAAAGTTTGGATTGTTTCATTTTCATGGTTGACAAAGCTCAACGTTTCAGGTCACGCCAATCCTGTATATAAAAGCTTATTCTTATAATATCAGTCAATTCTGTATTAGATATAATATAACTTTTTTTCTGTTTTTTTCATTATTATATAACTGATAATATGATAGAGAAAAAAAGAGCAACTTTCCTTCATGGTTATTCAAGCAAACCATTTCAATTTCACCGTAGATTCAACTTAATGATAAACTTGGATATTTTTTATTTTATCAATTTTGTCTTTTCCATCATCAACATCATGAGCATCCTTTTTCATGAATCCAAGCTTGAGTTGAATATCAATATTGATGGGTGAACATCAATAATAGACTTGCATAAAATTAAATGGAAAAGTTCAATTGGAATGAATAAATAAACATTTTGAAATTAAAGCGAAAACAATTCTATTCTAAATTCTGACCTTTTCTGAACGTTGACCATAAACTTGAGTTTCTCATGAAAAGATTTTCACTTACCTTTGAAATTTATAAATGATGAAGATGGAGAAATGGATGAAAATGATTTTGCTTTACATGGTGAAGAAGATAATAGAAGCGTGAAACCTGAATAGAAGAGAAGAAAATTATTGAAATATTGAAGGGAAAAGATTGAAACAGTTGCGATGAATCCGTTGGACGTAAAAAGGAAAAAGGAAAAAGAATTGAATGAAATTTCAGGAAAATGATGAATAGAAGGAAAAGCAAGTGAGAAAATGAAAAAGAGTTTCCAATGTTTCTCAGATAAACTCATCTATTTTTTCCCTTCATTTATATCGTCAAATGCAAATTAAGTGAAATGGAAACGAGTAAATTCATGCTTCTTTGGACCATTCGCCTTTTCTTCATGAGATATAACAATTCATACAGATTCATTTCTTCTTCAAGTTTCCACTCTTTGAATAAGAAAAAGAATAAAATGCAAAAAGAAGAAACAAGAAAAAAAACAGAAACAAACAATCCAAGCGTTTTCCAGTTTCCTTCTGATGAACAACTCAGACAGAAAATGAAAAACAGATAAAAAGGACAGATAAACTAACATGGCGCATCAACATGTTGACAAAAAATGTGACAATTTGCTGTTTAAAAGTAGATTATAAAGTGTTCATCTTTGTTCAGCAATTCTTGAGATTCTGAACAGTCAAAGATTCGTTTCAAGTTAGAAGCCAAGTAACGATTAACAATCATTAAAGGAAAAAGATTTACATGATAATCCGAATTCTTTCTTTTCTTTTTCTCAGCTTATCAAGATTTCACTCCAAGTTCAATCGAAAGTAAATGTTTGAGAATAAAATTCAATTCAAAGTTTTCTTTTCAATTTCACTTAAACTCATTTGGATCAACAAATTGTTACAATTGATTAAGGATTGAACTTTTTGTGGATTCTTTGAATTCTTGATTGTTGTTAAAGAGCAATTGAAATATTGTCAGTTTTGTTTCAACAGTTTGAATCGATCTTTCAATTGAAATTGTTCAATTGTCAATGAATGGCTTGAAGTGACAATTTTGTTGCTTTTCAGTAAATTGTTGGAATCAATTTGACTGTTAAGATTGTTTCATTAGTTTACCATTTAATCAAAGTATGATTAGTTTGTTGACATTTAGACATGCAAATGAAGAGTAATCTCAATTGGAACCATATAATTCCATGACAATCTGAATTGCGAATTGTCCAGATGATGATACATATTGTATAACACAGATAAAGTGTTAATAGTTTATCAACATCCGAACGATGATAATACTTATTTAATCATTGTTGACAAGTTGACAGTTAATTTCCAATTGAATGCATATTTAAGTGACAAAATGTTCAACATGAGCAAACAACATGCTCAGAGAATCCAGAGAAATGAAGCAGAATAACGAAAAAAGAAAAGTTTTCAGTTTGGAAACAAAAAAAAGAGATTCAACTAAATGAGAATCAACATTCAATTGAAACTAACAAATTATCAAACCCATGAAATTCATCATTCAAATACAAGTAATCAGTTTGATTGGCATTTCGCACTCCTGGCCAACCTTGCTGGGAGTTGTTTCACTCCCAGCCATTCCAATTCGATAACTTATCAATACGACTGAATTGACTTCAACTGTTGATTAAAGTTTATTGTCAAGTGAATATCAATAGAAATAATAAAAATCTATTCATCAGAAAATTTAATAATCGCAAAAAGATTTTAAAATAATAAACTTTTTAACAAAACTTCTATTTGCGTCGATTTATTGATTAGAAAATGTTTTATGCAGAATTTCATTTCAAGATTTATCTAAAGTGTTTTGGAATTCTGAATCAGTTCATCAAAATCTTGTTCAATACTCTGTTTTCCATGTAATATGAGATAATTTTGCTATTTAAATATTTTACTATTTTAATATTCTCAGGGAACTCGTTCATTTATACATCAAAATACGAATTGATGAAACAATGGAAAATCTGAAAAGTCATTTTCGGCATGAATTTAATTCCTTTTGCGTTTTCAGGGTTAACTAATTCCAATAACTTCCTTCCTTTATCATCTTCAACTTTACCGATTGATAATGATTTCATTAGAAATATTTACTGAACTATCCTTTCATGACTTAACCTTTCAAGCCATTTCCTTTCGTGATAACCTTTTCTCTCCTGAAAAGGCTCTCTTTATGCATTCATCTTCATCTTTTTAGCTTTTCATTACATTTCATCAAGTAACTTCACCTGTTTCAATCATTTCCATCATGCAATGAACATTAACGTAAAACTGAATCAATATGAAGTACAATTGAAAGCGTTTTCCATTCATTCCTTCAATCATTTAACGATGTAAAAGGGCATCAATGTAAATATCAACAGAGGATAATAATAATGATGAACAAGGTGAACTCACTCATTATCTTTCATCTGAAAAGTTGTACAAGAAAATGGAATTGAAGAAGATGAGAAAAACGAAAAAAGTAAATTGGTTCGTCATTGAATTAAGTGTCCATTAGAATGAAATTTATACCTATTAAAGTAGCTATTTGAGTAAAGAGAGACTCAATAGTAGCTTATTGAATGATAATGTTTCAGGTTAAATGTTTGAAAAAAGATAACTCAAGAAGTTCATTCTTCTCATCTTCTTCTGGTTATGTATTTTTCAATTTCAAACCCAAATTCAGAGAGAAAAGATGAAAGAAGATGAAGAGAAGAGGAAAAGTGCAGAAGAAGGAAAACTCTGAAAAGATATTTGGAGGTAACAATGATGAGGAAGGAATACAATTTATCTATGGTTTCCATGTATTTATGTGTCTGTCAATGTGCACCTAAATACAGTGAAATCAATGAAAAAGCTTATTGAAAAGTATTCCTTGAAATGGTTTTTTATTTCACTTTACACTTTATTTCATTTTATATCAACAATCGCAGACTTTTGTATCACTTTCTATTAACTTTTCATATAAATGATATTCACTTCTTTTCTCGTGTTTTGTCACTCATTCACATCATGATGAAGGATTGGATGAAACATCGTTCATTCTCGTGATTATCATTTTTCATGATCGATTTATCGTTCATCACTGTTACCATTGAAAACGTTTAGACCAATTGAATGAGTAGTAATAAAGAGAATCTCTTGAGGTCAATAAGGAAATGAATAACACTTTTCATCATATTTTCTATTGGAAATGATTTACTTTTTTCGAATTTTGTTTTGCATTTCTCTTGCTCTTTCAATTACAATTGAACGTTTTATTTCTTTCGTCAAATGTATTTTAAATAATCATTATTCAATACTTTTATTTTTATTACTTTGAAACTGATTCATTCCATAAGGTTGCATCTCGATAGTACATGGGAAAATGAAATAAATTGATGTTCCATTCAAAATTTTCATCACGATTTTGTGGCCTTTTGCCAATCTTTATCGCTTTATATCCACATTCAATATTGAAATTCAAATAATAGCAATTTCTCGATTCTCTAAGCGAAGATAAATCATCGCAATTTTATTGTCATCAAACGTTTCATTGATTGATCTTTTCAACCAACTAAATCCTTTAAATTGCATAAAAATCAATCGAATCAAGCATTTCAAGTTTAAATGTTTTGTGCATTTAAAAGGGAATCAAAAGCGATATTAGCATTGGTAAAAGGTAAGCTGATTAAGTGATTGACTCGAAAAGTTTACTCAAGTTGAATGCTTATTATAACACTTTTAAGTGGCTTATGAGCTGCAAATGCATTTAACTGTTGCATTGAAAGTAAGGCAAAAATGGATATTTGTATAAGTCGTTTGAACAAGAATAAGTTGTCATTTAGAAATCATTAAAGTTTACTGAATTGTGGTCATTCCGAGTTATAATTAGCTTCATCTTCGCATCCATTGTGTAGTTGATGGGAATGATTGAAGTGTTATAAAGTATAATGCAGTTAAAATTTTGTCTTCATAAACATACTTGATATTTGTGGTTAAAATACAAAAGTAAATAAGTTGACATGAGTTTGGTTCAACATTAAAGTTAATTGAAGCATCATCAAGTTGAGAATAATGTTGATGATAATCATTATGATGATAATAATAACAATATTACGTCGATTTAGTGAGAGTTGATGTGCAATATGATAATAAGAAGTAAAAAGAAAGAGAAAAAGTTTAAATGAACTTTTTTATCCCAATGGTTCGACCGCAAAAATGATGTTATGAAAATATGAGTGCAATTGGCTGTCATCAGCAGATGAAGAGGAGAGAGAGAAAGTTTCATCTTCATGGAGGATGAAAAGAATAAAGTTTAAGCAGAAATGAAAGAAGGAAAAGGAAAAGGCATTGAAAAAGAAGAGAAAAAGAAATGGATAAATGTTTGAATGGAATGATGAGGAAGACTGGAAAAGGGAAAGGATGAGGATAAAGGGGTTGAAACTTGAATCTCATTTTTGGATGAGAAAAGTGAATTAAATTGAAAGAAGTGATTGTCTGTATTTGATGGTTTCTCACATCCAACTATCACATTATACAAAAGGAGAGTCGAGATGAAGATCAGGCAAAGAGAGAGAAACTCCCTCGAGAATGAAATAAAAAAGTACTTGAAGATGTTTTTGGAAGTGATAAACACGGAAGATTATCAGTGTTCTGAAGGGAAGCGAACTTTAATAATGACAATTCCATGTAGGAAAAAGTTTCTCCCTTCCAGAGTAGAGAAGAGGTTGTTTCAATGAGGGAATAAAAGTCATCAGAATGATGATCATCATCATGAAACTTTTTTCCTTTCTCTCTCTTCTTTCGCTCTTCCACAAAAAAATAATCATTGATGGTGAAAAGTAAAGCATGATGATGATGATTTAGTTTTGACGTTTAGGTGATGACTTGCTTGTCAAGTTATTCAGTTTAAAGTTTAAAAAAATGTTAACTCAATTTATTGATGCATTAATAATGAATATCACTTTGAATGAAAGCCAAGCTGAACAAATACACAAAAAGATTGAATAAGTTGACCAATTTTGTTTTTAAATTTGCAAACGCGTGAACTTAAATGGTTAACAATGAAACTGTCAAAATTGTGTGAAAATGGTTCCTTATTCAATTATTTTCCGTCATTTTGCATTTCAAACA